ACAGTGGTTCGTCTTAAGACCCCCCTCATCCAGCTAAGGCTGCTGTCTTGCTGAAGGGCAGCGCCACGACAGCGCCGTCCGTTCGGGTGTCTCCGGAGGCGGCCATTCGAGGCGTGAGGCCGAGGAGGCGATTGATTGTGGAGCAGCTGCGGCAGCGCGTGGCACTTCTAGCTGACCGCGGTGTGCTGCCAGCCGCGGTGAAGTCCGGGACAACCCCAACCTCAACCATAGCCCTCACACTCTCCAAACCCTCTGTAGTATCCTGTAGGGTACATCAACCGGGATCTGCATGATCCCCCGATCGGTTCTTTTCTGAAACAGTCGTGTTATAATACCCTCCTCCTCACCCATCTAGAAAGCCCCACAACCGCTCCGCCAGGGACTCCAACGTCGGCCGCTGGGCCCTCTGCACAGCCGCCGCCGCGTCAGCCGCGCCGCCAAACCCTGCTGCCGCCGCCGCCGTCACCGGCGGCAGCGGTTGCGGCGGCGGCGACGACGACGCAGTTCGACCGCCCTCCGCCTCCCACACTCGCTGCAACAACAGCTCCGCCTCCTCATGCAGGAGGCAGTAGCACATGGCGCAGTACGACAGCCGTAGCTCGCCGCAGCTGCCGTCGGCGTCGCCGTCGGTGGAGGTGGCGGCGTCGGCGCTGGCCGTAGCAGCAGTGGCAGCCGCAGCAACATGCAAGGGCCAGCGGCACTGCCGCCGCCGCCGCGGCGGCCAGACCTGCCCCGGGTCTACATGCTGACGGTAGCATTCCCAGAACGCCGCCGCCGCTGCGGTGTCGCAACGCAAGCACGACGCAAGGATTGGCAATAGCTCGTACAACGGGTCGCCGTGACCTGCGTCAGAGAAGTCCACCAAGCTCAACTGCGGTCGCCAGCACCCACCGCCACCGCCACCGCCACCGCCACCGCCACCGCCACCGCCACCGGCGCTACCGCCACCATCATCCATCGCCACGTCCTCCGAGCCATCGGCAGCGGGGCCGCCAGCGCTGTCGCTTTGACGCCGCCGCTGCCGCTGCCCCGGCGGCGGCGGCGGCTCGCTCACGATGACGTTGTGCGCTGTCACGTCACCGTGCAGCAGCAGCGGCGGCGGCAGCGCCGCTGCAGCAACTCCTCCGCCGTCGCTGAATCCAAATTCAAATTCAAATCCAAAACCCAGCAGCTCAGCTGGATCCTCGGGCAGGTAGGCGGGTAGCTGTTCTTTGACCCAGGCCGGGAGCATGGAGGCGGCCAGCCCGCGTAGCAGCTGCCGCTTCCGAGCGCGGAGATGCTGTACGAACGGCCACCAGGGGCTGTCCGTCGGGACCGGGCAGCGCCACCGAACCTTCTTGCCGCCGGCGGCGGCCGTAGAGTTTGCAGTAGCAGTAGTAGTAGCATTAGCAGTAGTAGTTGTCGTGGCGGTAGCAGTATTTATGGAATTAGTGGCAGCAACCTCGTCATCATCGTCGTCGTCGTCGTCGTCGTCGCCTTCGGCGGCGGCGGCCCCCCCAGCGGCGGCAGCTGGACTCACTCGGCCCAGCCCCGAAACCCAGATACTCTGGTAACGGTTGTGCCAAACCGCATGTCCCCGCATCAATACTTCGTCCCAATACTCCACTCCGCAGGGCGCCGCGACTGCAACTGACGGCGCCATATCGACATGGTGTGGTGCGGCACCTGCGGCGGCGGCGTCAGCCGCTGCCGCTGTCGGCGCCGCCGCCGCTGCCGCCGCCGCTGCATTAGCATGCATGGTCCCTAGCAGGTCCCCTAGCGCCCGGGCCAGAGAGATGAGGTAGAGGGGCGATAGGCCCCTACATGGTGACCCTGGATCCAAACCCAAATCCGGATTTCGATCCAAACCTAGTTCCAAATTTGAATCCAGCAGCTCCTGAAGCACCAGGGAGCCCTGGGGGATTCGATCGAGGGCGGTTGGTGTGGCGTGAGGGGTGGAGCGGGGTGCGACCCGACAGGCCAATCTAAAACCCTAAAACCCTAACACCATATTGAAAAGGGCCACACACACACACACGCGCGCGCGCGCGAGGGAGCGAGAGCGGGTCGAGAGCGCCAAGGGATGTCATACCGATTCCCACCTAGCTAGGGGGGTTGCAAGGAAACGCAAGGAAATCAGAAATGAACTGTCCGCGCCATAAGTTGGGGGAGATGTAGGGAGGAAGGGGGACCCCGGGGCCCGCCCTAATAAACATGGTCCTCTGCAACTGGGCCCCGGACCACGGATGATGATGATGATTGCCGATAGTGGGATACGATGTGAACCAAATAATGATGGGCTCCCTTCCCCCCTCTCCCCCTCCCTCTTTCCTTGGCAGCAGCTTCACTCGCGCGTGGTTCGTCTTTTCCCCTCCTCCCCCCCCCCGCCCGTCCTGGGGCGTCCGGTTGGGTTTTGTTCCACTCACCACCGCCTCCTCCCTGTGTATTGCTCGGAGGGGGGGGGTCCCGGGGGAGGGGGGACTCTACGTGACCCGGCCTGAAAACAACGCGCAGGAGAGTCGTACCTGTAGCTGCTGTTGTACGACATACAGAAGCTGTTGCTCTTGATGTGGATGTGGCTGTAGCCCATGTTGTTGCTGCTCCAGGCCCCCCCCCGCTTCCCTCTCTTCCATCTTATCTCCATCCCCGGGTCCCCCCTCCCCCTCGCCCTCCTCCTGCGCCCCATCATGATGAGGAGGGCGAGGGGGAGGGCGGAAAGGGGAGTTTCGGGGTGTGAGGGTCACCGCCACCGCTCCCCAAGCCAGCGGCTGTGGCAACGGGCCCCTTGTCGGCTGATGAGCTGCTGCTGCTGCTACTGCTGGCCGCTCTGTGACTTTGGGCGGCGGCAGTAGCAGCCGCGGCGCACGCGCCTCCAAGGCGCACATAAGGCCCCTCGTCGCGGGAACCTGCAGGGCAGGGCAAGGGGGTTGGGGTTTTCAGGTCAGGTCTTGCACAATGTCGAATTCTCATTTGTAATTTATGTGAACGGTGGATTTAAAAAACAGTATAAACAGCAACACAAACATATATACACAGCAGCTTTTTTACACATGCCCACAGAACGTGCGTACAAGCTGCTTTTCTTGGTATATGCTATTGATTATCGTATCGTACCTCGTGTACGAAAATTTTGATTGCCGTACCGCCGTACAGGAACACGAGCGCATCTGCCCCCACGAGCGGGATGAGCTCCAGGCAGTTGGGCTCTGGCCGCCACTTCACCCGACCACTGCTGGTGCTACAGCCGCCTGCACCGTTAGCAAAGCAGTAGCTACCGCCAACGGGATCGCCGTGGCCAGCGGTGTGGGCGCGGCTGCTGCTGCTGCTGCCGCTGCCGGTGCTGCCTCCCCGCCCTCCTGCCGGCTCTTTCTCCTCCACCTCCACCTTCACCTCCTCCTCCTCTTCCTCCTGCCCCTCCCCGGGCTCTCTGGCAGTCCTCCTTAGCACGCCTGGTGGTAGCTGGCCGGCAATTGCCAGGAGGACCTCCCGCCAAAATGGCGCGTAGAGGTGCTTAAATAGGCAATCCTGCAACCAGCCAGTTGTACCGATCAATCACATTAGGAGTCGGAGAGGCGGACAAAGAGCAACATATATATACATACATATATACATACATATATACATACATATATACATACATATATGCATACATATATACATACATATATAACCTGAGCGATGCACTGAGAAGTTGACTAGGGTGACTAGATGAGGGTGTCCCGAAATACCAGGGAAGGCACAGGGTTTCGCCGGGTAGCGGCCTCGGGTGAAGATCCCCCCCCCTGTCCCACACATCATATACAGAGCAGCAGAGCACCGAGCAAACACCACTACCCCTACCTCGTGGTGTGCGGCCGCTTGTACCATTGCATTCCTCCTCCACCCCTAAACCCCTAGACCCTAGATCCCCCCCCCCCACATACCCGCCCACCCGGCCCTGTTGTCGTGAACACACACACATCCATCCATCTATCCATCTATCCATCCATACATCCATACATACACACACACACGCACGCACGCACGCACACGCAGCCGTATCGCGGCCCAGATTACCACAGAGACACACTCACCTGGATGAGAGGTCGGGTGTCCGGCTGACCCAGCCACAGCCGCCGAAGCCAGCGACCCAGCAGCCGCTCCCGCCTCCACACCGCCACCTCCACGTAGTCCAGCTCCCCACGCCAATGGACAGACGGAGGGCCACCACCACCACCACCACCGCCACCACCGCCACCACCACCACTAGCATTGCCAGCATCGCCGCCGGCGGCAACGGCGACAGCGGTGGTGACAAGGTCACGAGGCTGCGGCTCGCTCGCTTGCTGCCCGCTTCCTTCCCCCGTCCCCGTCCCCGCCATCGGGCCCACCAGGCTGCGGCAGTAGAGGCCACGAGCTCGGCCCACAACCACCGGTGCTCCGGGACCACCACCGCCACCACCACCACTCGGGTGAAGGGGAAGCGCAGGAAGTGAAGGACGATGAGGATGAGGAGGAGGAGGAGGAGGAGGACGTTGCGGCATGGGAGCTTGGTCACCTCCTCCGCATCCCGCCTTCCCAACCCCCATCTCCCGTCCCCCGTCCTCATCCCCTACCCGCCGCGCCACCTCCTGCCCTCCAAGTTCCTCCTTCCTGGCCCTTTTCGCCGCCTCCCCGGTCGGCTGCTCCACACACCGCACCGCGTTGAGCCCCCCCCTCCTCCTCCGGCCCCCTCGGGGAACTCTCTCCTCCCGCGTCCTCCTCCTCCTCCTCGCGGTGTCTCCCAATGCACCACCGTCCCCGTCCACTATCCGCTCGTCCGCCTCCTCCTCCTCCCCATCCCCTCCCTCCTCCTCTTCCGGCCACAGGTATCCGTACTTTTCCCTCCACACCGCCACCTGCTCGTCTGGCTGATACCAGTTACTGCTACTGCTGCTACTGCTACTGCTCCCCCCTGCCGCGGCTGTCCCGTGGTAAGCCGCGGACCCCTCCCCCAGGTAGCGCACCACCCGCTCCAGGTTGGCGGCGCCCACGTAGTTCTGGGTGACCGCCACGGAGGTCTCCAAGTTGAGTACGCAGTGCCACCAGCCGCCGGGCACAAACACAACCTCACCTGGGAGGTTTTTACGGGTGTTAGGGGGTTTTTAGGGGTGTTAGGGGGATTTTAGGGGGCAGGGGATAGGGGGGTTTTAGGGGGGTAGGGGGGTTTTAGGGGGGTAGGGGGGTTTTAGGGGGTGGGGGGGTTTTAGGGGGTAGGGGGGTTTTAGGGGGGAAGAGGGGGTTAACAGGGAGTCAAGGGAGGGAAATCCGTAAGGCGGGGAGGATGGCGGTGGGAAGGGGCAGTAAGAGGATTAGTTGCGACCAGCCACATTTCCCCAAACATATACATACATACATACACACACCATCCCCTTAAAAGCCGTCACAGCCCATCACCCAACTAAAGGCCTCATCCATCACCAACGGATTGAAAAACGGAAATACAACCCACCAACTAAAACCGATTAAAACCCTAAAACCGATTAAAACCCACCGGGTCCCTGTACGAACTCAATGGGTTTCTTCTCCGGCGGCAGGGAGGGGTACAGCTCGAGATACCACTGCAGGGATGTCAGTCCGTCATCACTCACGCGAACCTCCTCGCCGTCGTCCTCCTCGTCCAACACCACTCCAGGGGGTTTCACGTGGGGGGGGTACAGGGCCCAGCGCTTGCGGCCTGCGCGCACCAGGGCAGGGTAAGGGTGCGAGTGCGGAGTGGTTAGGGGGAGGTAGGGGGGATGTTAGCGGGGGTGTGGGCGCGGGTGAACTGGGTTCGTGTGCATGTGAGTGTGGGATACCCTAAAAACACTATGTCTGTGAGTCTGTCTGTGAGTCTGTCTGTGAGTCTGTATGTATGTGCTCCTCCCCTCGCCCCTATCTGACCACGTCGCCACCAAGACCACTATCCAAGTCATCATTGGTCTGTAAAAACATCCCTGCTATACAGTATTTGACTCTTCTCCTTGACTGTAACCGTCTATCTCTGGTATCAGCTTCAATCGTCAATGGTTCGTCTTTAACCCCCCCTTCTCCCTCCCCCTCCCCCCACACACATACACACACGCACCCGACAGCAGCGCGTTCCACGCCGAGGTGAGTGCAGGGTCCACGTGCCAGGAGGCGCCCGCGCGAGCGGGGCCCAGTACGAGCCAGCGGTAAGGAGGTCGCGCACCGCCCAGTGCCGCGTAATAGTCCTGGGGGCGTGGGGGGAATGGGGGGTTTGGGTGGGGGGGTGGCGGGATAGAAGGGGGGAAAAGGGGGGACATCATGGGCATGACGGCAGCAGTTGGGGAATCAATACCGCCAAGGTCGCGTGTTTGTGAAGAGGGGACGTGTGTGTGTGTATGCGCGCGCGCGTGTGTGTGTGTGCGTGTGAGTTAAGGGGGGTAAAGGGTTCTCGAGGCTCCAGGGGACGCCTTCTTAATGGCGAGGAGAGGTGGTGTGGGGGTCCACGAAACACTTACTGCTACTACTACTGCTGCTGCTATTACATGCCATAAGGCACTATAATACAGGATATGAAAGAGTGCAAACATACATACGTACATACGTACGTATAGGCATACACAGACGCCCGCGTGTGCGTATGCATGTACGTATGTATGTCCACATTTACGTTAAAGCTTTTCGAAAGTTAACGTGTACGGTCAAATTAAATCCTCATCATCATAATGTGCTGTTCACTTGACCGAGCCTGAGACACACACACATACATACATACACACATGCGTGTGGAGAGGGGTTGCCGGGATCCTCCCGGTCAAACTTTTTGAACCTGCCTGGTCAAACACATGGGGTACGTCGTACAGTTTCCGTATCCCAGGTGCAGATTCAACGAAGCCGGCGTCGAAAACGTACAGCGGCTCCTCATCGACCTGGCGGCGGTTGGCAGTTGGCAGTTAGGAGTTCCCAGGTTTTCATTCACGATCAACGGACGATTCAATAACGTCTAATTCGCGCTTTTATCTTTTGCAAATTGACTTCAATGACTTTGTTCTCCCCCTCTTTTCCCCTTCCCCCTCCCCGCCATTTCCCTCCCCCCCTTCCCCCCTCCCACCTGCCTCGCCATGTAGTCCGCATACGCGGGCAGTGTCATCAGCGCCCGGCCGCCGTGGGGCTTGGACACCTTGAACTGGGAGGTGGGGAAGGTGGAGCTCAGGGCGGGTAGGGCCCAACTAGACACTGCCACGGGAAGCGGGGGAGGAGGATGGAGGTGGGGGGTTAGGAGGGGACAGGGGGAGAGTGCCGGGAAATCACATGCAAGAAAATGTTTTCAGCTGCTCGACTTGCCTATCTCTCCTCTCCCCCCTCGGCCTCCCGTCTCTTGCTTTTCCTGTCCCTTCCATTTTTAAACCCCGCCGAATCCGCATCTGCATCCGTATCCGCATCCTTGAGGTCGCATCCCCAGCCTCTTGGCAACGCTACTTCCCGCCCTTCAGCCGCCAACATAGGCAGTCTGTGTTTCTAGAGCACCAATGCCCTTGGGGCATTAGGACGAACATCCGGACATACATCACGACATACACACAAACCCGCGCTCAAGGATCGGGGTTAAGTTCGTGTATTTTTCGACTCACTCGGCCAGCTGTCCATCAGCCCGCCAAGCAGTACAGGCATGGCGGGTCTGTCGTACCGCTCGACAAAGTCCGCGGGCGACATGGCGCCGGCATTCACGCGTTCCACGGTGGGCACTCCGGGAGGGGGGAGGAAACCCGTGAGATCCACGTGACAGCGGTACCTGTGTACGGCAGAGTGTACGAGAAAAAACACGCACGTTCGTACACATACCTCTGGACCTCTGGGGATTCAAGCCAACCACCTCACGACATCTCGTCAGCGACCCACCATCGTTTGTACAAAAACAGGGAGGAGAAGCCCGCCAGGGGTGGCAGCGGTCGCGCCACAGCCTCCACAGAAGGTGGTGGTATGGGTTTGTCACGGCACCTAGCAAGAGTCGTTTGCCGCCAATTGGCCTGTACATAATTGGGTGAGAGCACAAAATATGGAGCCAGTTCCGGAGGTATAAAATGGTTTTGGAGCCATGGACCTTTTTTTCCTCAGAGGCGGTTCCGAGCAAAACTCAGGATGGCCGTCCAAGACAGTTCCAGAGCCGGTGCCAGATGGTTCCGGAGCAAAACTCGCTGAAGGGGAGGAGGTAAATTGTGCAAACGGAGGTGTGGGGATTGCTGGGTGGGGATTTTGAAAAACGTGTTGATTTGTAAAGGTGCAGTGGTTAAAATGAAACGGAGTGTGATCTTTTCCAGTAGACCGGGGGAGATGGAGAGTGGGGAAGAACGAATGGGGAGGGCAAAGTTAGGAAACGGACGCGGGGTGGCGGATGGATCCGGGGATGGATGAGGAGAGGGCGTATCCGCGTAGGCTTGTGCCCAACAGCTGCGCTGCTGCTCAGCTCAGCCTATCAGCCTACGCCCCTGCCTGGAAGCAACTTTAGCTAGGTTTTAATACATAACTTTTAGGAATTGCCGGAAAGGAACAACGGAAAGTTCAATCCAAGATCTTGACTCATGGCTCCGTGCTTGGAAGTGGTTGCGTCCTATCCCGCCCTGTTGCGCCCTTGACAGCTCTTGCAAATCTAATTTTACGCATAACGCGAGGTGCCCGTTATGCGACCATCTGACCTTGTACTCCACGATGCCTTCCTCCTGCCTGAGGCAAAGGCTCAGCCACAGCGGCTCTTCGCAAGCGAACACGCGAAGGATTCTGCTGCAGCAGGACAGCCGCACGACATCTTCCAGGTCTAGCAAAAACGTGATGTAGGAGATAAGGTGATCATGGAGAACAGACAGCGTCCCCAACCCGTTAAGTCGGAGCTCCGCATCCGTAAACTGCGACATCGGTCCCCAAAACCCTTTCTCCCCTCGGTGCGTTACGGTAGCTTCTAAATGAGCCTCTTCAGGTTTTAGTGCGTCCTGTGAGGAGGGCCCTAGTTCCGTGCTATGCAATTACTTGTGCACCAATTTAGCAAATTCATGACAGGCGAGTTCATCCAGACGTCCATCCAAGGGTAAAATAAGGAAGTCGCTCGCTGCAAGTTCCGTGGATTAGGTTCCGCTGTGTCGTTCAGCTACCAGCGCCAGCTTCTGAGGTGGTTGACCGTTGCATACCCCGGCCATCTTTTGCAATTCGGAAACAATCGACTCAGCAAAATTGATGTAATATACTTGGAAATGAAGTGCTTAAAATTGATGCCGCAATGCACAAGCTATGCAGTTATTAGTCCAAACGGGGCATTTTCCTTGCGTCTTCCAAAGCTCAACAACGTGAAAGTCCAGGCATCTGGACCTGCCGATAGTTCTTTATCAACAACAAGTACTTCGACAATCACCTTAACAAATGAGCCCCCAAGCGCTGCCCCTGCACCCCGGCCCCAAGAACCGACTCATCTGCCCTCGACCGGGTTCGCCAGCGCTGTTGGCCATCCATCAATCCTGATAACTAGCCTTGCAGCTTACAGCATGATAACCTATGATATCTTTGGCCCCACCAGCCTGCATGTACTACAGCCTGTGGACCAGGCTTTCCATCCTGCCGTGCAGGCGAGCATTGACCCTGAGCTCCGGAGACATCTCTTTGGAGAGGTACTCAGCAACTGGTGGATCATGGCGGGCAGCTTAGGGTGGATTTTCACCACCGCGACAGCGCTTGTGAGTTCCATCCCTTACTCATCTAACGTCTCGGACTTCTGTACGATGGGTAACAGAGCAGCGGCCCAAAACCACTTGCGAAGACCTTGGGGACGCCCTTTCCAACCTCAAGCACTGCAACTCAGTTTTAGTGCTTCAAAGTTCTGCAGGCTTGGGGCTCTGGATTCACAACGTGATCATGTACGGCAACGCAAAAAACACGGCAATTCCTTGTTCCCACTATGCGCCAAAGATCCGCTTCAAAGAGCGTTTGTCGCTTCAGTCTGCTTCGGAAATCGACGTTAGAGGAAATAAGCCATAGAGCAAGAGAAAAATACCTCGCGGAAATAGAAAATAACCCTGGTCATTCCCCTGATTTACACCTAAAGAGAAAGCCGATATTACAGCACCTTTGTATTACAGCACCAGCTCAAGGGATGGGGAAGGGACCCTGGCTGGCAGGATGGGAAACCTGTCTTGAGGGATGGGATTAGCACCGGCCCTTAAGATGGGGGATGGGAGTCGATCACCCCTGCCAGGATGGGAGGATGGCTGACCACTACCCACCCCCAGGATTGGGGGATTAGACCCCTTTTGCAACCCTCTGATCGCGTCACAACTTAGACGACATAATGGGCAATCAAAAGCAGTTAAGCATAAAATTAACGATGTCGTGAAACATTTGGAAACCATGCACTGACAAAGATATTAAAAAAGGACATGTATTGGACTCTTTCTCTCGCGCCTCTCGTGCCTCTCGGTTATGAGGTGGGACTTTTGTTGCACTGAGCATGTAAAACCCTAAAACCCTAAGTAGTTAGGAGGGTAACTAACTAAGTCAGCACTGGCACCAGTCCATTCACTACAAGATGTAATTCGGCAGAGGCTTCCCCCGTCCAACCGACTTAACTGACACCAACTAACCCCGGGTTCTACTCACCTGCCAGGCCCCCCGTCATGTGTACGACACCGCTGCCCGCAAAGTCAATCATGCCCGCTCCCAAAAGGAACGCGTCGGTGCCGTACCACCCTAGCCAGCCGGTACGGCACCATACCCAGCGTACGACAACCGGATAGACGAAACCGCCCAGGAAGAGCGAGTAGCCTGCAGTGTTTTTTTAAGTAATATATTCCTTAAAAGGAATAAAGAGGCCATTTTGGCCTTTGGAAAAACGGAATGAATTGAGGCCGATCCGTACATTTTCATTCCTCCAGCCAAAAACGTCCATTGCTGCCAGATTGCTCCGTAGTGTGCAGAACTTAGTATTATCAATCATAGAATAGATATGAGGGGCCGTAAGAAGGTCGAGCCCGTGAGTCAACGCGGCATAGCAGAATGTATGACCGGTCCTCACATAGCCAAACACGCAAAAGGCAACACGACTCGAACGTCGAAGAAACACCAAAACAGCAAGATAAGCCTGAAAATTTTCCTGATAAAGGCGTTTGGGACGGCAGTGCTGTTGTCGGTAATGCATTGGCAATGGTGTTGCTTGCTTTGGGCCTTTGCTTGGTCGGATTTACTTATTGCTCACAAACAGTGCCAGAACTATCTATGCATGTGCATGAAGAGTGCGCACATGAACGAAAACACGCCAACTCAGTGTGTGCCTCTTGGTCTATGAGGGGAGTTGTAACTTATGGGGGGGGTCTGGGGGGGGGTGTAGCCCCCCCCAGCGCCCCACACTTATGGAATAAATTACGGCGACCCTAGCAACTTTGTTACTTCGGTTGGAATAAATTGAGACCCGCCCTAAATGAAAAAAAATCACTGGTAGCCTGCAAAGCACGACGAGGAGGAGGAGGGGCAGGGTGAACGTGAGTTTAACTGAGAACTGAATCGGTCAAACAGTCAACAGTGGGGCGTTGCTGCCGTACGGAGGAAGCTGTGCTGTCGGTCTGATGTCTGTCGGTGTGATGTGCACCTCTGTAATCGCAAGTGTAACACACACATATACACACACACGCGAAGGGAGCCAAGGAAAACCCAAGAACCCCACAAGAAGAACATCAACAATTTATAGGTTCGAATTTCATAAATTCATTCGTAAGTGTGTCATCAGTGATAAGACAGCGACCGCAGCTGGCAAGATACGGATACATGTGTGTTATGACAGACATGTCGAAAAACTGTGTATCACTGTACATCATGTCACTTGGCAGTGTCAGCGACCAGGCACCTTCTGCAGACCCCAGGACCAAATCCTAGCTACCGCTAAGATTGCAGACCCTTAAATCAATTATGGCTTTGTTGTTGCTACCTTCCCTTCATGCATAACGGTAATGCGCGGTGGGAATATAGCATATAGGACTGACTAGGTGCAGACCTCAGAGCGTTCCCCCCTTAACACACGCCAGGTTGAGCGGACACCAGTGTAACAATAATAATATAATAATAACGGTAATGCACGTGACAGGTCTCTGAAGGAAAGCGCCATGCTAATCATTTTGGGTTCGTCATCTAGTAAGTGTTGGTTTGCTTTTGTTTTGAGTGCAGCCCCCATACACCCGCACGCCAAAATCTATGACCACTTCTTTGCCGATTACCATCTAGCGAGCAGAGCGAGCCTGTCAACCAGGTCATGCTTAGGTGCTGCACTGACCTGCCATGCCCAGGGTTTTTTTGAAGTAATAATTTACTTAAAAGGAATAAACAGGCATTTTGGCATTTGGAAAAAAGGAATAAATTGAGGCCGACCCGCACATTTTCATTCCTCCAGCCAAAAGTAGTGGACCCAGACGCGCTTGGATGTGGGCACCGGGCGCTGCTCGATGACACACCCACAGCAAGGGTGTGGCAGGCCATCAGCTACTGTGCGGCCCTCACCGGTGGCTTGACGGAGTTTTCGGCTTTGCTGGTGTTAGTGATGGTGCCGGGTTGGTGGAGGATGCATGGCGGTTCACAACCTGTTCGACCTGGGCACGTTCCCCTTCCGTGACACACTGAGGAAGGGGCTGGACGGCAGCAGCAGGGGCTGGTACATGATGAACTAGTAGAGTCCTAGTGTGCTGTGGTTTGCAGCGGCAGGTGATGGCCTGTGATTTGCTGTGTGGTTGCTTGCTTTGGGCCTTTGCTTGGTCGATTTTATTTACTGCTCACAAACAGTGCCAGAACTATCTACGCATGCACACGAAGAGTGGACACAGGAACGAAAAAATGCGCTAACACAGTGCATGACTCATGGTCTACGAGGGAGTTGTAACATATCGGGGGGGGGGGGGTCTGCAGGGGGTGTAGCCCCCCAGCGCCTCACAATTAATGAATAAATTAAATCCAACCCTAAGAAGTCCCCTAAAGGGGAAGAAGCCAAAGGGTTGTCATCATTCCCTTTAGTTCCCCATCCTAAATGAAAAAAAACCTGACCATGCCTCCTTATTAATGAACTTGCTACACCATCCCATTGCAGGCGTGCTGTCTGTCTGCCTCATGTAGTGTTGTTGGGGGTGTTACACTGTGGGCGGTTCACCCCGAGGAAAGGATGAGCACCAGGCCCCTGACTGGGCCAAAACACAGCGCAGGGGCAGGCGTGCGGCTCTACATCTGTCTGTTCCTCCGTGTGCATCCTTACTCATGCCAACCAGGACGCTCTCCCAGCCCCTTGCCAGGGGCTCCTGGCTAGGCAACACAGCAGTGCAGAAGACTGCAAACCGAATTAAGTGAGAGCCACACGAGAGGCGCCACACCACCTCTGGGAGACCTAAACAAGCTATCTGCCCTCACTATGCCAGGCCAGCCTAATCGTGCGCTCTCGTCTCTCTTGACCGCCAAAACAAGAACAAAGCGAAAACACCACTGGGGGCCGGGGCTCTACTCAGGGGGCTCCACTACACACTCAAAACCCGAGGCAAGGGAAGACCTACCCATGTCAGGTACGGCCCCTCAGCCGACTCTCCTAGTCAAGGACCCCACACAGCCAGCAAGGCCAGAGATACATGGAGGACCACGGGCCTGAGATGCCACACCACAAAACCAAGACGCGGTTGCACCGAGAAGACAAACACAACATGGGCACTCATACACTGGTCCCTGAAGGCCAGCCATTCACCTACCACTAGCAACGGACACCTACCGAGGATGGCCACCACTACCTCACAGGTCCACTCTCAACCGGTCCATATGGCAGTCTCCTCCTGGGGGTTGTGGGCTTCCGGGCGCAGCCCAGTGCAAGACAAAGCAAAAACACCTATTGCCGCGGGGAGGATGACAAGCCAGTGCAGCACCCCCCTAAAAAGCCCGAGGAAGGCACGGCTCACAGACACTGCCTGCTCCTGCTTACCACACCGGGATCCCTCCCCTCCTGACCCTGGCCAGCTGGGACCAGCATCACCTGCTCTCCACCTCCACACCACTGTCCTCCACCACTTTCCCACCTCCTCTCCACTCCCACAAGCCACCTACACTGTCTCTACTCTGATGCCAGACAGTACAGAACCCAATCCCCTCTCTTTGACAGGCCCCAATTCCCAGGGAGCGGGCACACACATGAGCACATGAACACACACAGCCCGGCTCCACAACTTCCCCTGCTAGACCACGTGACCCTAGGCCAGGACACTGCTCTCTTGCCCAGCCCTCCAAATGCCCAGGGCCTCCCTGCTCTCCTCACTCCCCACCTATCCCTACTTCTGGCTCTCTCACCCCCTCTCCCTCACTCTCCCTGCTCCCCTCCAAAAAGAGCCCCTGACTCCACTCCAGTATGGCTATTTAGGCCATGGTTTCCACCACTGCTGCACACTACATCCACTCCTCCACGACCGCAGGATGGGGTGCTGTGGCCCAACTCTGTCCCAGCCATGTCTGGGGTTCTCCAGCATCGTGAATGAGTGCAGACACACCCAGAAGTCTGCCACTGCCCAGGCGTGTGTGCGGGCCAGTGGTGAGGCTCCTGCAGCACCCACTGTTGCTGCTGCTGCCACTGCCTCGCCCCCTCCCACCCCTGCTTCCTGTGTTGGCCCGTCATCCACTGGGGCATTTAGGGCAGGTCCCTCTTGCTGCACTGCACCTCCAGCCGGGGTGGTGAAGAAGTCTGTGATGGCCTGCTGGCGGGATCTCTGCTGCTGTTGCTGCCCCATCATGGTTGCTGCTGCTGCTGTCTGTAGGAAGGTCATTGCTGCCAAGCCATGGTCCGGTGGCCCAGGCGGTTGTCAGAGCCCAAGGCTGGAGTGCAGGGTGGGTGAGCTCCAGGTAGGTGGACAGTGTGCGTACCCAGGGGTATAGGCCCCAGGCTGCACTGTTGGTTGCCACTACCAACTCCTCGTCCCCACCTGCTCCCCCAATTACTTCTCCACCTGCACCCCTACCTTCACAACCTGCTGCCATCAGTGCTTGTGCAATGAATCGCATGGCCCAGACTGTGTGGTGTGCATGGATGTGCTGTCAGAGTGGAAGCAGGTCAAAACCCCCGGCTGATGGATGGCCTACTAGACGGCTGCTGGGTACACCTTGTGTGACCTCTATGCACGCCTCCCTGGGTTTGCATGGCCACCATGCCTTCAGCTCCGTGCCTTGCATGCATGGCCTCACAGCAACACCACCGGATACCCTGCCCTCTTAAGCAGCTGGTTCAAGAAGCAGGCCAGCTCTTCACAGCCCTCACGCCTGTGCAGCTCCTTAATGGCCACAATCAGGTTCTCAGGAGGCGAACAGCTGCCCTTGATCAGCAGCTCTTTCCAGTTGTTCCGGTTCATCTCACACACCAGCACCACGGCAAGCATGTGCCTGGAACAGGTGGAAGATGCTCATGTTGACTTGCAGTACAGATGCACAGCCAAGCACACAAGCAAGAAAGCAAGCAAGCACCCTGTAACCACATCCCGCTGAGTCCAGCTTACCAGTCATACTGTGGCTTCGCAGGGAGGCCCAGGAGCATGCAGGGAGCAAAAATGATGGTGGTGGATGTCACCGGCGAGCCTGTGCGAACCGTGGAGCCGAAGTCACCCAGCCACCACCTGCTCCACATGCATTGGTGAAAGGAACAGCTGAGCAGTAGAGGTCAGGAGTGCTACCAGCAGCTTGCTCTCACATATGTAATGGCAACAGCAACAGATAGCAATGATGAGGCTACCAGCACCAGCTAGATCCTGTCCCCAATAGCAATGAGGTAGGCGCACCTGATGATGCTACTGGGTGTGGGCAATGCAGCTGCTTTGGCACGGTGTGTTATGCATATTTTTGGACTGATCCATTCCTGCCAATGGCACATCACATCAGACATGCCCAGCCCAGGCCACATGCAGGGTGGCATCACAACAGGCAGGCCAGGAAACCGCAGCCCTTGACCCTGCACCAGCTCCACAGGCTTGCACCATTACCTGCCCTTGGAGTCCACGAATATGTTGTCTGCCTGTCCAGGGAGGTGTGGCAAGGAGTAAGGGTGGCAGGCCACCTAGCAAAGTTATACGTGTGCAAATCACCTAGAACACAGACATCAAGAAGCTTGTGCCTCGATGCCAGTCTCCCCTCTCGACTACTATACCTTGACATCCATGTGTGTGTACTCTTTTTCATGAATCCATTCCAATGCTGCAGCCATGCGCCTGCCTCCCGCCAGCACAGCTGCCGCCGGCAGTGGCACCATCAATGCGAGAGATGACACATACCGCGGCATGCATAATGCCGCATACAGGCCTGGAACACGGTCGACATTGGACATGTGCTCGGCACCGAGCTTGAAGGTGATAACACGTGCTGGCACCAGCGGCACAGATGCAGGCTTCGACTCTATTAGCGCCCGGCATGCCTCCGCCTCTGCACCACCAGGCTGCTGATCACTGTCAGTGCTGCTTCCTTGAGCAAGCAGCTTGACTATAACGGGCAAGCCTTCACATGTTGCTCCAATCAGCAGGCTCATACTGCCCTCAGCAGGGTTAGGAAACAGGGGCCCATTGACCCTCAGTCCATGCTGTGTGAGCAGGTGGCGCTCGGTAGAAGGTCCAGGAAAGAGCAGAGCCTCCCTGTACAGGTCCACAGCATCGTTGCAGTCACCAAGCACCATCACCCGGGCAGGGCAGCGCCGCATGATGAGATTCAGCACAGCAGTCTTTGGCCTCTGGATGTTGCCAAGCGACAAGAGCTCAAGGAAACGCCTTTTGTAGTCAGGCAGCCCTGTATGAGGGAGCATGGAAGCATAATGGAGGGGGCCAGGGTTAATTGGTGCACACATGTTCCATGTACACGGATACAGTGGAGCAACCGGGTGCAGCTAATCCTGGATCCATTTCCAAAGCACCCACATTTCCAAACCACTAATGCAGCCATTGACAACATGATGCTGTAGAGGCCAGCCAATGAGAAGCTTTGAGGACCATGGAAAGTATCAGCATCGTTAGTGGAGCAAGCAACCTAACCTAATGTGCTCAAAAGCCCAGTTTCGACATGTGCATGAAAAGCTATTGGTGATCCTGAGTCTTCCCTTGAGTGCAGATAGGCAGTCAAGAGGCACAACACTGCCAAGGCTGTTAGCAATTCAAATTAGTTAGGAGTGAGTACACGAAGTATTCAGCTCCAAGAAGTAATGTAAAATTGAGGTCTGACTCACCAGAGCTGGCACCGGTGGCAGGATAGCAGATACACGCCACCTTCTGAGATAAAATTTAGCTGAGAGGCGTTGATGTGACTTTGACCTCAGTCAATGGAGGCAGCCAAACTTGTTTGTGCTCATACGATTTTTGTTGGCTACAGGTGAGATACCTTGCAATATTAGTATATTATAAGCTACATTTCCCTTAGAATATTTCAACGATTACTGTTAACAATAACTGTTAATTTGTTAACGAGTCGAATCGTTAACATGTCACAAACATGGCAGTTGTTGCCCCCAGATACACGGTACCTTTTGAGATTTTGAGAGGTGTTGATGTGACTTTGGCCTTGGTCAATTGAGACAGCCAAAGTTGTTTGTGCTCATTTGTGCTCATATGATTTTTGTTAGCTACAGGTGAGATACCTTGCGATAGAGAATGCTATATAGTACCAATAACGCGTTTCAGCCGGGCGAGATATTATGTTTGATCCGTTACACACACACAGCCACACAGACATGGGCAATCCTACAGGTCAGGGGTCCCCCTGAGCACTGGCTGGTGTTATATAAGCAGGTACTTCCAATAAGCAGGTATTTCCAATAACCGGATTTTTATAATCATCTTTAGAACTGAAACCAGACCATTTAGTTGAAGGATGTACACTTATGTCAGGGACAGGGGGGGACAAGTAACCCAAGAAGCTTGGACTTATGCTCAACAGAGATACCCAAGCTTGAGACTAAGATGCACTCAAAAATACTTAAAAAATTACCAAGAGGACAATAACGATTATTGGCTTTAATAAAAATAAAACTCAGTCTGCAAATCTTTCCGAGAGTACTGAGGAAACTCTTGCAGGAAACTCTTGCAGGAAAGTATAAATACCCTCAGTCATAAGAACTAAAAATGTTTGAAGTTCAGAACTCACAGCTTGCTAACGGTTTCCGAAGACCATTTAGGTGCCTTAAAAGTATCATACAGGGATAGAGACATGGATGCCCACAAGGACCATGGCTCCGAAACGCTAGGTGCCGGGACAAACCCATGTCACCAGCTTCTGTGGAGGCTGTGGCGCGACCGCTGCCACCCCTGGCGGGCTTCTCCTCCCTGTTTTTGTACAAACGATGGTGGGTCGCTGATGAGATGTCGTGAGGTGGTTGGCTTGAATCTCCAGAGGTCCAGAGGTATGTACACGAACAGCAGGCGGAATTGAACCCGGACACTCCGGGAGTAGGAGTCAGGCCTTAACTTCTACCAGCCACCTGCCTTTATGATGTGTGGCTGCCAGGTGTGGGGCCCTTTTGCACTGGCAGAGGTCATGGACAGGGCGGGAAGACGGCGGGATAAAGCCAACCTTGCGGAGGGCATGTTTGATGCGTGTTTGAAGGATAGCGCAGTCCAGCTGCAGATTTTATTCATGAGGCAGGTAGTGGGGATGGCACGGCCATCCCACAGGCTGTTGTATGCGGAGCTGGCTGAACTCCCCTTACAGTATTACATGCCGAAACAGATCCTCCGTTTCTGGAATGGAGGATTGCCTTCAAAAGCAAGTGGGGTCCATTGCTCATGCAGTTTTACAGCAGGAGATAACCGATGCTCTGACCAACCCGGAATGGGAGGGTTGGGGAACCTCAATGTTACGACTGTTTTGCTTCTTGGAGTGCAATATTTGGAGCGGAATACCGCAAGAAGTCGTGGGGGTAAAGGAGCGTGTTGACTGGTTGTTGAGTAGGCCTCTACCCGAAGGAGCGATGATAACGGCACTAAGGGAGCGTTTGATGAGCGGCTGGGACCATACGCGTCTGACTGTCTTGCCAGAGGAGTACCCATCAGATGGGAAGCAATCGGGAGTGCAAATAGCGAAGTATATGCACTGGATGGGGCTGCCCTTTTTAGGAGCCGCAGCCGTCATGTGGCAACACATGGCAAGGTTTTCATTCCTCGTTTAGCACATCGTAAGCTAATGCAGTTTCGTTTATGTTGCTGGGCAAACAGAGCACGAAGGGGCAAGTACCATGTCCCCAGGGGGCAGCGGTTTTGCCGCTGTTGTGGTACTAATAGCCGAATTGAGGATGAAAAACACGTGCTATTGGAATGCCCAGCCTATAATGATATTCGTGCTGAAGAGGGATTCGACCATCAACAGAGCATGTTGGAGGCCATGCAATGGGAACCCGCACGTCTGGCGAGGCTGTTGGAACATATGTGGGCTCACTGAAACTCAATTACCCCCTTTGGACGCTAGTCTGGGCTGATGTGCGGTGTTTTCCTTTCCTCCGTGGCTTTTAGGCGTTGTAGTATTGCCCTTGGGCCTTCGGCTCGTATGGGTAGTCTTACAGGTATGGGGTCACGCACCCCCAACCATGTAACACACACAACCATGTAACAAGTGAGGATGAACTAGGGGGCCGGCTTTTCAAAGCCGAAAAGGGGCTCGGCCCCGGTGCAGCCACTTGACCCCGTTTAATTCGCAGGGCAGTCCGTACGGCATAGGAGTGCAAGCACAAGAACGCCGCCATGTTTGGAGTACACACTTGTTATTGTAATTCTCAAACAATAAAGGTCGGCAGACTTGCTATGGCGGCGTAGACCAGCGTAGACCTGTCTGGATCGTCACAAGCGTGCAGCCGCCATAGCATAATCATTGTTGTCGGAACAGTTAGCCTTCTTGTGATGCGGCAATCTGTAGAATGACATACACACAAAGCGCCTTGAACTGTCAGCCAGCAGACCGAAGGGCCGTCTGGCTGGCAGTTCAAGGCGCGCAAAAGTGCCCGTGCTTCATGGACCAATTGTTGTCCGCTCCCAGCCAGAACGCATTCGGGGATCGTTCCAATTGCACATTTTGAAGTCGGAATGCAGCGGCAAAGCTGATGGTGTGTCGCAAAGGCACACTTCGTTTGAACTTGGATTGAATGAATGAAGAAGAGAATAAGAAGGACAACAATCAAACAGGCACGACATGTTAGGAGGGAGGTGCTTAGAGCGTTGCCATGGGTCATCAACAGCCCCGCCCTCCTCCGCGCCCTCTGCTGGGGGCCCGGCCGCGGCCGCGGCGGATCGGCTGGTCAGCGGCCGCCGCCGCCGGCGGGGACGCGGGCGGCAAGGCGGCCGGCGGATGGGGGCTGCCGATATGGCCCGCTGTGGGGGCTGGCACCTCCGCCAGCGCAACGGCCCGACCTGGGCGGGCCCCCCCTCCTCCGCCAAACTCGGGGTCATGTAAAGCTATCTTTGTCGCGCTCCGATTTATCTGGAATTTCTCCTTTGGCAGGTGGATGTAGAATAGATATAGCTTCTACATTCAATCTTTTGCGGAGCGAGATATGTAACTTTATGTTTAACTCGGAGCCATGGAAAGCTATCTTCGCGCTCCGATTTATCTGGAATGTCTCCTTTGGCATTTCGATATAGAAGGGATATAGCATTCAAACGCTATTTTTTGCGGGGCGAGATATGTAAACCACTGACTGACTGACTGACTGACTGACTGACAGCAGTGAACCCGGGGGGCTCGGCCCCCCGAATGGCGCTTCGCGCCCGGGGCCTCACCCAAAAACACGTGTTATTGGAATGCCCAGCCTATAATGATATTCGTGCTGAGGAGGGATTCAATCATCAACAGAGCATGTTGGAGGCCATGAAATGGGAACCAGTACATATGGCGAGGATGTTGGAATGTATGTGGGCTCACCGAAACTCAATTACCCCCTTTGGATGCTAGTCTGGGCTGATGCGCGGTGTTTCCTGTTCTCCGTGGCTTGTAGGCGTATAGATATTGCCCTTGGCTCGTATGGGTAGTTTTACAGGTATGGGGTCACGCACCCCCAACCATGTAACACACACACACACAGAATAACATTTTAGTGTTCATGAAGAGTATTCATTTGCAGTGGCTATGCACTGCACAGCGCATGCACGAGCACCATTGCTGGCATGGCGCATTGACCCCAACCAAGCATTTGGGGAGGGAGGAGAGCGGAGGAGGGGTTGTGAGGGGGATTTGGTGCATGTGCAGTGGTGGTGTTTCGAACATTTTCCGGGCACACTTCGGTATGGAGAAGGTAACATCATCAGTCCGGGAGTGTGACTCTCCAAATCTTAGCCAGCTTCCCCAAAGACCTCCATCAAGTACTTGGACTTTAGCAGCTAGGACTTATGGCAGGTTGCTTACGGTAATCCTCACGGTTACCCTACCTTCCCGGTTTCGCACCGTCACCTGAACCCTACCCTGAACATGCAAATGGACGTATCGCGGCACTTACCGCTTTCCTAGTTTCATGTCTGCGTGTGGTGAGGCGCCTTGTACCTCAAAGCTCAACACAGGGATACACCAGCCGTTGTTACGTCATCGATACTGTCCTTCAACCCGATAATGAATCGTGGCACACAACATGCATAGGATGCGGGAAGACACCGCAGTGATTTGTTTTGACTGCACAGATCGTTGTCTTCGACCCCCCTAACCCATCACCATACAAACCAGCTGTTGCGCAACTTTAACGACGCCGTACAGTCTAGCTGGCCTCTCCCATAGCACTTCCAACTCCTTCAGCAAATGGGCACAACGTCTGTCCGGTATATGATGATCGCTGGCTTTCACCCAATGCATGAGCCCTTTTTTGGCCTGTTCCACCTCTGTTGTGTCCATAAAAGGTGCTAACTTCCTACATATGACCAGCGTGTGTGGCGTTTCGTGCACCGAGCTGATCATTCATGTCGATGTGTAGGAAACACGGATTGCTAGCGGCACTGTAGGGTTTGGTGCCATTATGGCAATGGCACAGTTGCCATCGACTTGGGCCGACAGAAAGGAGCGGGACGGCGAGAAGGGGAGGACATGGGTGTTCATTCCGACATGGGTGTCACAGCAGGCATTGATGGTGAGGAGGCCATATTGCGAATCGAGGTCTAGAAAGACGGCACAGACAAGCATCCAATCGCTGTCAACCCAGTGCACTCCTACAGTGGGGGCTGCTGTGACACGAGCATGCATACAACCTACACGTCGGGCAGGCTTACTGGTGATCTGGGTAAGGCGCTAAAAGTTGAACGGTGATGTGTTAGACTTGGCTAACCTGATCTGCCGGTGGTGGCTCAGGGGCCACGTTAACGAGGATGGGGGGAGCGGCGGCGGTTCAAGTGGGGTTCGAGGTGGTGGCCGGGCGGAAGGGTGCGGCGATGTGGAGAAGTGATGGTTATTGGCGAGGGGGCCGGGGTGGTCCAGGGGTGCGAAGGGGTTCGCGCGGCGTCCGGCGTAGTCTGCGACTCTCTCTCGACGTCTCCGGACAGCGATCGCGCTGGCTGAGGTCGGTGGACGCGGAAACCGAAGGGACGAGGGCCATGGTAACGAAGACGAACACGATGGCGAACAAGAAGACGAACAGCGAGAAGCGTGTAGGCAGGATCGCCTACTCGATACCAACTGAAACTGAACTCCGATCCAAGTTGGGATGCCAATAATTGGCATTGGTGCTGTTCACGGATGACCGGCCCTATTTTGACTACAGGCCGCGTCATAGAACTGCAAGAATAAGGCCCGCCTACAGGCCCGAATGCACTGCAATTTTACAGAATTACAAACCTTCCAAAACCATGCTTAACAGATTACCAACAGATTTCCAAAATACTACACCATCAAGCAAATAGGGCCGGTCATCCCTGAACGTTCCCAAGTTACTAACTACTGTAGTTAAACTCTGAGTGGAGTGGCTTGAGCCGATTATCACACCAGAGAAGCGCAATAAAGTCAACATAACATATTAAACAACAATACCGTCTCATATATCAACATAGATCCAAAATGGCGCTCAATTGAGCGCTTCACAACACATCCCGCAATTTATTTGTGCCCAGCGCCCTTGACCCTTGTTTGCTCTTCTTCTCCTTTCCAACTTTGGATATCAGTGTGAATCAACGTATTGTATGCCCACCATCTGAGGGCAGCTTTGAATCATGGTATCAAGGATGGCCGTGACACAGGCCATTCGCGCAGAGACCACCGGAGACGAGCAAATGGACTTGCTTATTTTCGCGGCGCTCATGCCCGAAACCCAGCTGGCTGTTCTTCAGGAAGCCGACACCAACAAGTTCATCGTGGACTTTGTGCGCGGGCTAAAGGCCGCAGGTGCGTTGCCCAAGGGCCCAGGTTCTTTTCTTTTCTGGAGGTGGTCAGCCTAGCGCCGAGCGCGCCAGTCTAAACACAACTTATTAAAGAGACTAGACGCTGTTGTATTCATTATGCTCATCTGGGACCTGCCGATTCCGCTGGCGATAACGGCCGTGGTGCGTTCACCTTGCACTTGTGCTCCCCGTTCTAGCTACCGCTGTGCACTGCAGGGTTTTTGCTGCCTCTGCTGCCCTGTTCGACTAGAACCCTGAACCCTGCACGACGAGTGCTTATCAAGCCGCCGCCTGAAAGTACTACCCATACCCTACCCGATCCCATATTACACACATAGCATCGAGCAGGTGCTGCGGCATACAGTTGCTAACCCGCATGTGCCCCCCTGTGTGCTCCCATGTTGTGCAGGCGTGACGGCCGCAGCGGGGAGCACGGCAGCTGCTGGTGGGTTTTTGGTGCTTGGCAGTGTTTCGGAGCGGGACTCGCTGAAGAGGAGGTTGTAGATTGTGCAAACGGAGGTGTGGGGATTGCTGGGTGGGGATTTTGAAAAACGTGCTGGTTTGTAAAGGTGCAGTGGTTTTAATGAAACGGAGTGTGACCTTTTCCAGTACACCGGGGGAGATGGAGCGTGGGAAAGAACGAATGGGGAGGGCTAAGATAAGAAACGGACGCGGGGTGGCGGATGGATCCGGGGATGGATGAGAAGGAGAGGGCGTATCCGCGTAGGCTTATGCCCAACAGCTGTGCTGCTCCTCAGCTCAGCCTATGTCCCTGCCTAGAAGCAACTTTAGCTAGGTTGCCTCCTTATTGGTTTTAATATAAAAGCTTAGAAAAATGTCGGAAAGGTGCAACAAGGGGAAACTGCAATCCAAAATCTTGACTCATGGCTCCGTTCCGCCCTGTTCCGCCCCTAACAGCTCTTGCAAAGCTACTTTTACGCTTAACGCGAGGTGCCCGTTATGCGACCATCTGACCTTGTACTCCACAATGCCTTCCTCCTGCCTGAGGCAAAGGCTCAGCCACAGCGGCTCTTCGCAAGCGAACACGCGAAGGATTCTGCTGCAGCAGGACAGCCGCACGACATCTTCCAGGTCTAGCAAAAACGTGATGTAGGAGATAAGGTGATCATGGAGAACAGATAGCGTCCCCAGCCCGTTAAGTCGGAGCTCCGCATCCGTACACTGCGACATCGGTCCCCAAAACCCTTTTTCCCCTCGGAGAGTTACGGTAGTTTCTAAATGAGCATCTTCAGGTTTTAGTGCGTCCTGTGAGGAGGGCCCTAGTTCCGTGCTATGCAATTACTTGTGCACCAATTTAGCAAATTCATGACAGGCGAGTTCATCCAGACGTCCATCCAAGGGTAAAATAAGGAAGTCGCTCGCTGCAAGTTCCGTGGATTAGGTTCCGCTTTGTCGTTCAGCTACCAGCGCCAGCTTCTGAGGTGGTTGACCGTTGCATACCCCGGCCATCTTTTGCAATTCGGAAACAATCGACTCAGCAAAATTGATGTAATATACTTGGAAATGAAGTGCTTAAAATTGATGCCGCAATGCACAAGCTATGCAGTTGTTAGTCCAAACAGGACATTTTCCTTGCGTCTTCCAAAGCTCAACAACGTGAAAGTCCAGGCATCTGGACCTGCCGATAGTTCTTTATCAACAAGTACTTCGACAATCACCTTAACAAATGAGCCCCCAAGCGCTGCCCCTGCACCCCGTCCCCGAGAACCGACTCATCTGCCCTCGACTGGGTTCGCCAGCGCTGTTGGCCATCCATCAATCCTGATAACTAGCCTTGCAGCTTACAGCATGATAACCTATGATATCTTCGGCCCCACCAGCCTGCATGTACTACAGCCTGTGGACCAGGCTTTCCATCATGCCGTGCAGGCGAGCATTGACCCTGAGCTCCGGAGACATCTCTTTGGAGAGGTACTCAGCAACTGGTGGATCATGGCGGGCAGCTTGGGGTGGATTTTCACCACCGCGACAGCGCTTGTGAGTTCCATCCCTTGCTCATCTGACGCCTCGGACTTCTGTACGATGGGTAACAGAGCAGCGGCCCAAAACCACTTGCGAAGACCTTGGGGACGCCCTTTCCAACCTCAAGCACTGCAACTCAGTTTTAGTGCTCTGCCGGCTTGGGGCTCTGGATTCACAGCGTGATCATGTACGGCAGCACAAAAAACACGGCAATTCCTTGTTCCCACTATGCCCCAAACCAGCCATAACGCCCACTTCTTCTTATTTATTGGTCCCCCAACTACCAGACTTCCTGCCTAACCATTGTCCTCCCGCCAAAAACGGTTGTCGGTTGCCGCAACCGCAGAGTCGCTACAATCCGCTGGCATGGCAAGCTTGCGCTCTAGGCTGGGCCTTATGGATATTCGGAGTGGGTCCAATCGAACATGACCCCGCGCTGATGGAATTCCTCAAAACCACCTTTGACCGCGTTCGTCCCTCTCCCGTACGTCGTACACCTTCCTTCCCAAGCGGTCATAGCGCCGCTGCCGTACTGGTGGTCGGAGCGCTGCTGTTCGTGCTGTTGCCTGTGGTGTATGGCAGACGGCCTGCTGCCGGCGGCCGGGATGCCGCGGCGCAGGGCGGGGGGCCCGACGGCGCCGGCGGCGACAACGGCGGCCTCGGCACAGTCGGCGGCGGTGCGGCCGGCAGCCATCACCCGGTCCTACAGGCGTTCTATTCGGTCCAGGTGCATGAGCATACGTAACGCGTTGTAACGGTTCCGGAGCCGCTTCTCGAAGATCCCTCCTACCTAAAGGGTGGCCGTGTGAAACGGCTTTTTCCGTTAGAAACAACTGCCAATGACCATAGGAACTAACGTATCACCGTAATCACCATTGACGTCATCAGCATTGTCATCCAATCCCCCAACTCCTGAGTACGGCATCTGGATCTTTCTGGCACTAATCTCCCTCCCCATGTGTGTCTGCAGGGCTCTTGGTCGTTATGGGCCCTGTCCGCCCTGACTACGATGCTCGGCCGTGTGGGTTTTGACGCCCATTGGCTAAGTGACACGCTGGCGGGTACGGCACTGAGTGTGGCGCTGGTTTCGGGGCTGGCGAACGCCACGGAGCGGCTCTCAGCGGCTGCGTCGTCATCGTCGCCTTCATCATCATCTGGGAGGGCGGGACTGTAGGAGGGCCGCAGCAGGGGCGGCCGTGAGGGTGTTGTGCATGTATGGATGCATGCATGTATGCCTGTATGTATGCTTGTATGTTCATGACTATGGGGTTTTGTCAGCTGGAACACATGCGACAAGCGAACACGAACCTGATGTCGCAGTGATCTGAACTGCGATATAAAAAAGCACATGTAATATAGTTGTGTATACTCTCAATGTTTTGTGCGCAGCGATGTACTTATATACATACATACATATGTAGCGTGTGATACGCGTGTGTGGGTCGAGGACATATCTGCTGATGGGAGGATGGTTGGAGGACGTAGGGGGACGGAGGTAGGGGGGTGGCGGCATTACATAGCTTCGTCAAGATACGTATGTTGTAATGTTTGTATATCGTCATCTATATGCGTGTTCGTATAGGTACTGTAAAATATAAAACACGGAAGCGTTGGCGCTTCAGCGGTGGTTTCGGCGGTCCTGTGAACGCCGGCACCTACCCCACCCCGTACGTAGGGCTATAGGTGGCCTAGAAAGGAACAAAACTTCAAATGATCATATGGTACGGTGGCCGAGTGGTCTAAGGCGTAGGATTAAGGCTCCTATCCGCAAGGGCGCAGGTTCAAATCCTGCCCGTATCAGATCTGTATCAAAAAGTCGATATAAAGTCCTCCTGTTGTTTCTTTATTGGCCGATCAAGAGTGAAAATAATTCTATTGACCTTGCATTCATAAGGCCCCTCCCTATCAATGGTGGCAATTTTCCCGCCATCTTCTTCGCCCAGTCCTACCGCAACCGCATTTGCACATCCATAATCCTTCTCGACCTAAGTACCATGCCCTCCTCCACCACACCTACCACCACGCACACACACTAAAATACAAACACACTATAATACATGCTCCAATCCAAACAGTATAAGGCACTACTACGCATACACCGCCAGAGTTACGCTTCTACCAGGGTAGCGGCGAGGCCCGGCCGATGGATCCATTTCACCGACCCATCTTGGTTACTACCTTCACCTCTTTCTTTCCCTCTCTTTCCCAGCGGGGTAACACCCCCTCCGCCCCACTACCCTTCCCCGCCCTAGACGATCGCGCTGCGGTTTTGTGTACACGCCTTTGACGGGAGGGAAACCAAACGATCCCAATTTCCAGGTTTCGCCGCTGCTCCTGATACACAGGTCCTCGCCCCGGTCAACAGACCGATAATAAGCTGTAGGTGTGTGGCTGCCCAACCGGGGGCCCCGCTCACCCTCTCCTCCAACTTCCTGTCCTAGGAGACCCACACACACACGCACACCTTCAACACCGAGAGAGAGATATACAGCCTGTTGCGCCACTACTGTCACCACCGTTATGGCCGCCTGCGACGTCGGAGAACACACCACCTCCCCTTTATCCCCCCCCCCCTCTCCTCCCTCTTCCATCCCCCCTCCCCTCCCCCCCCCCATTGTGTTACAGTTGGTCAGCGAACATCGGGGTGTGTAGGTCTATCGTACATGTCACACCACAAGAGCGCCGGGCCGCCTTCTTGTTTTAGAGAGGTGTGCTGGTTGTTAACCGTACCAACCAACACACTCACAATTTGCGTCGTACTTAAAACCCACACCATTACAGGTCACTGCATCTTGGTGGTCTTGGCAACGGGTGCTGGCGACGCTGTCGATGCCGCCGCCACCGGCGCTGCTGCTGAGGGCGGCTTCGGGTACTGCCCGTGCTTGTCTGGGCGCGCCATGTCGTACAACTCCGTACAGCGCGCGTACGTGACGCCGCCGCATCGCGCCACTGGCGCCAGACGTGCGAGATCCACCACGAGCTTTCCCGAAGGACTGCGACCTGCTACGGCGGCTGCGACGTGGAACGCGACCACTTGACCGATCACGATGGACGTTGTAACGGTTCCGGAGCTGCTGGGCGGTCGGTGTAGTCAAATTCGTTGTAGCGGTTGGGAAGAAGTTGTTGAAGTTAAGGGCCGGGAAGGGGACGTGGAAATGAGTTTGGTCAATGAATAACGGTAAGGAAACGCGAATAAAAGGGTACGAGTACGAATCTAAGTACGAGTGTGATGATGACGATGCAAGAAGCGAGGGGTCCACTGGCGCGGGCGGTGCAGGGATCTGGTGGCTGACTGGACTCAGTTGGACTGAGTTGGTTGGTTTTTAGCTGATTTCGACTTACTCCGACTGGCTTCGACCGGCTTCGAATCATTTCGACTTCGAATCGTTTCGACTTGAAATCGAGACTCTCTTCGATTACGACTGATCCAACAGACTTTGACTGATTCTTCATTCACTCAACAGAGAGGACTCGACCCAATCCAACCGCCCTACCTTCTGTCGTACCACACATCCCCTGTCACCCCCCACCTGTCCCGCACAATGTGGATGTCCCGCACTCGGCACTCGAGGTGGACGGCTGACTCCGCCACACGGGGAGGTCTCACCTGCGGATGGGGGTGGGGGTGAGGGGGCAGGGTGAGGGTGAGGGGCAGGGGGAAGGCGAGGGGCAGGGGAAAGGTGAAAGAACATCAACGCAGCGCAGGGCGGGGCGAGGAGGGGCGGGGGACGTGGCGGTGGTTAGGAGAGGTTCTTCATTCCCGGAGGTCCCCGGGCGGGACCGAGTTCACCGCCCGGGGGGGGGAGAGGAAACTGAAACAAGTCGGTATACAGAAGGGGTCACCATGCTGGTGGTGGTTGTAGTGGTGGTGTAGTGGTGGTGGTGGTGTAGTGGTGGTGGTGGTGGTGATGGTGGTGGTGTAGTGGTGGTGGTGGTGGTGGTACACGATGTACACACATGTGAAACACGGGGCGAAGCCTCCCCCCCGAGTGGAAGCAGCATCACCTAGACAGGCAACCCGACAGGGGACACACGCCATGGGACGGGGATGACACAAACAAACAAACATACAAACAAACAAACAAACATATATAAACAAACATACAAAAAAGCAACACCCGTGGACACGCACACGCACAATCACACCTTGGTTGAGGGCATGGGGTGAAGTCCTGCTAGCCTCATTTCATCCACCCCCGGCGGGTAGTCACCGCATGTGTGGTTGGCGGCCTCCACAAACCACTCGCTGATGACGTTGACCACAAACTCGCTGCGAGGTGGAATGAGGGGGAGTCACACGGGGGGTCGCCAGGCTGTTTTGATTTGAGGGGGAAGGCGAACCACAGACGAGTGATGCTGATACCGGGGATTGACAGACGGGGACGACTGTTTTGAGTGGGTGCCTTAGGTTGTGGGTTTTTGCCCCGGATAGGTAGTGCCCAGCGGATTCAGACGTGTGGTTTAGACGTTAGGTAAAGGTCGCAAATGGCGTCGGAGGGGAATGGGTGGGGCGGGAAGAGAAAGAAAAGGTGCTGCGCTATAACTCGGCAGCCCAACAGGAATGGCTTTTTTTACCGTGTCTGCTCGATGTTGCGCAAGGTGTCTTTCTTGCCCTCCGGCTTAGATGCGGAATGGCAGAGGCCGATAGCCACCGTTGGGGGGTTAAAGCCTACGGGAAAAATTAGCAGGGCATAAGGCTCTGGTTGGGAAGCATCTGTATGAGGACAGAACGAGTACACCTCGACCGACATGGCGTGCACGGCTACGCCACGTACCAATTATATTGCTTATTGCTTGCTGCCATGACTTGCATCAATTTTATGGCGAATGTTTGAATGAAGACGTCTAGGGCTCGCAGGTTGTTGCTTACCCATGGCGTTGAAAAAACTGTATGGCGATAGGTTTACTGTTCCCGACTCATCTACGGTAGAAATAAAGGCTACAGGTCTAGGCACTGCTGCAGATATTACGAGAGGATACATGTCGCCTGCTGGTGTTGTTTCGGCATCTACCATGTGAAACTCCTCAGCACCAGGAAGCGGGCAAGGCTGCGGATCCGCAGGCTTCCAGTTGGGATGCGGTGACGGTACAACTCTTGCGGGCAGCCACGCAGGCTGCTGGACTGGCGATGTGTGCGGCCCATTCGCTTGAAAAGCACATTCAAGCTTTCCTTGCCGCTTGTGGCGCCTCAACAAGATAACGACACCTTCCCTAAGGCCTAGAGCAGCTGCAACGCCTAGGGCAAACGCCCCGAATAGCGACGCCATACTGTTGGCGCGCTCGGGAGCGTTCGTCGTCGTCGGCAAGTGCAAATGACAGACGACTGAGTTAAAGCGGTTCCTGTGTGCGAAGAGTTGGGGCGCAATCGCAACCATGTCTCAGCCTCACGGCATTCAGGGCAGGCGTGCGCATCTCCTCGGCTACGCAACGCCATCGACCAACGACAGTCGCAATTGTACGGTAGAGTCAATATAGCCTTTCTTCCAACACTTTCCTGCTGCTTTCTGGCAGCCATGTCAAGAAGTGTTATTTGTGCGTGTGTCCTGTGTCATTAAGCAGGCGGAACAACGCTACCAGGTTATCGATAAGCAGGTCCGCAAAAATGCTGCTGCCTCCGGCACGCACCAACAAAAGTTCATCAAATCTACCGAATTCTCTTCAGTCTTAGGCTTCTAACTGCCGAAGGCAGTTTTGGGCCAAAGGCTAAGGGTCCTGGTAGTTTTTTGGCAAGTTTACCCAGGCGCTGAAAACCTGGATCGTTCTGAAGACATAGCTGCCGCAGCTGTGTGCCTTCCCTCGTGGCTCTTGCGCCGTCTTTCCTTACTTGGGTAGAAAATAATAAACCATTACGACCTTTTTTGAAAAGCAGAATTGGTAAAAAAAATCAAACCGGCAACTGACACAGCCGCCTTTCAAACGCGTTTCGACACCAGCTCCCAGTCTCGCCTCTCTCCCCCACCGCGCAGTATCCCTCCATCCCGCCTCCCTATAGCAGCATCAGGGCTGCAGAAACACGCCAGGGAAGAGGCGGTCGCACAGGGCATCTGTGGGAGCTACAGCCGCCGCCAGCGACGGCTCCACGCCCTGAGTCAACGCCAAGTCCGCCAGGTGGCCCTGCTCCGAAGCCGCATAGAGCCGCCTGCCCCCTGGAGCCGACCGCAGCACTAGCCAGGCATCGTACCCGGTACGGACAACCAGCTCGCTGTCGCCGGCGCCCGTAGTTCGATCTGCAACACTGCTGGCTGCTGCTGCTGCGGCTGCTGCGTGTGTGTGTGTGTATGTATGTGCATGGAAGGTTGTTTCATTCATGGCAGCGGCAAAGTTATCAGCAGTGGCAGCATCAGAAAGGAAAACAGCAGCAGCAGCGGTAGATGAATGGCTCGGAACGACGGACAGACAAACAGACCGCCACTTCATGCCATGCAGCACACCCCACCTTCTAGCCCGTTAAGGAAAGGGATAACGAATGGGGAAGTAGAGGAGCACCGCCCGGGGTGTGTAAAGTCCTGTAGGGACTCCGACGAGTCTTCATCGCGCTTTCACGCCATCGTACACACACATTCATGCTGTACATACATTCATGCCACAACACGAATACATTTACGCTAAAACACACATCCAGACTTACAGACAGACAGACAGACAGGCACGCCAACCCCGCAGCACCGAAGCATATGTTCAGCTCACCGTCCGCGTTTCGAGCCCCCTCCTCTCCTTCTTCCTGCTGTTGCTGCTGCTGTTGCCCCCACTCGCCACCACCGCTGCCTGCATCTCCATCTCCATCTCCATCGCCGCCGCCGCCGCCGCCGCAAGCGCCGCCGTCCCAGTCATCCATCTTGCTCCGTAGGTGCGCGAGATGCCGAAGAGCCGAACTGGACAGCGTCAGAACCTTCTTGAGGGGCGAGTAGCTGCAGATACACAGATACACAGAGACACATATACATACACACGCGAGCGCGCGAGAGGAAGACGGATGGGGAGGGAGAGGCGGGTCGGGTCAACGTCAAAGAGAGTACTTCTAACCAACTTCTAACTCTATAGAGCACTGCTAACCTATGCCTAAAACAAATACACCAAATATAAAGTTACATAATTAAATATTTTAATGTAAAATACGATTTCAATTATGAATTTTATCATTTCCGATATCACGCACGCACGCACGCACGCACCGAGTCACATGACACAGGGAGTCTGTGAAGCAGTACCGGTGGCCCTTTTCATGCCACACGCTGCGGGCAGGAATCTCAGCCGCCAGCGCCGCCGCCGCCGGCCCGGCTCCGCGACCCAGCACGGCCGCCAGCGCCGCCAGGACTTCCGTACCCGGCGGCGGCCCGTCGTGCAGCAATGCCAGGACGAGCAACTGACCCCTGTGGTACGGCAGCAGCTGAGCCCATTCGTGGGAACCCTGCATAACATAACGTGCACACGATACTAAAACACCCACGCGTCTGTGTATGTACGGCAGCAACAAATTCCATTCCCCTCTTCAGCCGTGGCTGATGTCGCAGGTAATGGCTTCCATGACGCGAGCCAGAGGGTTTCTCTCATAAGGCCCCTTTCCAGATCCAGATCCGGATCCAAATTCAAAAATTTAGTCCAGATCCTGATCTTACCCTGAGCCACACTTGCGTCATGGGTAGCGGGGTGTCCAGCGGCAATGCCCCCCCGGGAGCGGATGAGTACAGGGAGGGACGCAGACGCGGCCGCAGAAAGGACGACAAGAACGGCGGAAGGGCGGATCCCGTGCTACCGCCGCCAGCACCAGGCGCCGACGCGGACGACGCAGAAGACGGCGGCCCGGCGGTTGCGGATGATGAAACAGGCAGCGCCGGCGCCGCTACCGTCGCCGGCACTGCGCCAGCACCGACTCCGAAACCAAGGATGCCCGCCAAGCTGATGCCAGCTGGCGTCGACGGCCCGAACATGGCGCCACCGCCGCCGCCGATTGCCGATCCGGAGCCGCCACCACCGGCGGCGGCGGCGGCAGTTGACGTTAGGCCGAGCCCTGCGGCCATTGCCGCCAGGGAGGATACTGCTGGCGACAGCGCCGCTGCTGCCGCCGAGGACGACGGCGCCGCCGGTGGCGGTGGCGGCGCGGATGTGATTCCGCCGCCGGCGCGCCATTGCAGCGGGCTAAGCAGGGTCTCGTACGCCGTCTCACCAGGACCGGCAGCAGCGGCCGCGCCGCCGCCGCCGCCGCTACTGCCGTTGCTAGCGATGGCTGTGACGCTAGCGCCGGCGCCCCCGGGGCGGCTCTGTCGAGCGATGGAAGGGGAGCATAGGATGGAAAAAGAGCGGGAAGAGGGGGAAAACGAAACACTAACGAGTGAAGCTAATGCCAAGGACAGACTGATACGCCAGTAGTATGTACTTAGAAATAACTTTATGGCAACCAGTCGCGAGTTACGAAGAAGCAGTCTTCACGGTGATGTTAGCAGTCATGAAGACAGCGGAAAAGCTACCTACCTAGCCACCAAGACTGAAATAAAAGACATGCGGAAAGAAAGCAGGAAAAAAACATTCGGAGTATTCTAAAAGTAAGTGGAAAGGGGGGAAAGAGGGTTCCGGTAGGGGGCTGGGATCTTGGAGCCTGACCGCCAACATGCAGATAAGTCGTACATCGTACACAACACGCCATAAAAAGAGAAACATACAGATCAACAGTTAAGGAGTAAATTTTCAAAAACGTAAACGAAAACCCCAAAACAAACCTTAAGACGCAAATAGCTACACTCACCACAAGTAAGACATAAAGATACATAAAATAGAGATACACACAGACGTACATACACACATCCACCAAAATGTATCCTCCGTACAATCCTCAACCTTTTCCCCGGATCCATTACCCATTTCCCCCTAAACACCCGCACCTTCTGTGCCGCCTTAGCCGCCGGCACCAGCGCCCTGGTCGCCAACGTGCTCAAAGCCGCCGTGTCTTGAGCTGACAATGTGCTCCACACCGCCCCTCCTCCCCCCCACATCACCATCACTCCCGCCACCAGTCGGGAGCCGTAGAAGGAAGCCACTAGCAGCTGGTTGACCAGGCTCTGTACGGCTGAGGATTGTGTTTCGTGTGCCAAGCCGGGAGGGGAAAAGGGGTAGGGGAGGGAGGGGGGAGGGGGGGCCAGGAGGGGGTGCAAGCAATCAGGCGTGAGGGGAAAGGAAATGGCAAGTGGGGAAAGGGAAGCAAGCTCTGTTAACCAGTCCATCGGTTCGTTTGCCAGTCATAGCCAAAGCCAGGCCGGGCACAACACGTCCTCCCCCTCCGTAACCCCCAACTCCTGTGTTTTGCCCCTCAACCCCAGACACCCTCCTCTCCACCCCCCCGGCATCGCTTCTCTCGTTCGTGGTTGGTTCGTCTTCCCCATCCCGCCCTCCACCCTCCCCTCCACTCCCCTACCCCCCCCCAACCCTCCCTCCCCACACAACCCTGGACCCCCTCACCCAAGAATGTGTGATGCGAGGTGGTGATGAGGGGCACCGTCCCCGGGCAGTGGGGTGCCAAGGGGTTAGCCAGGAGGCCCACATGGCCACCCGGCTCGCGGGAAGCTGCAGCTTCAGGGCGCAGTAGCCGGAACCCAATCTCGTCCAAAAGGGGCTGTAGCACACGACGTAGCGCGAAACCCGTAGGATCCTGCACGCGCACACGCGTGTGTGTGTATGAGTATGTGTTTGCCTGTGTGTCTGTGCGTGTGTGTTTGTGATCTGAGCCGCGATGAGGGAAATGCCGATGGTGGTACACGAATAACTTTACCAAACACACACACACACACACAAACGCGTGGGTGGAGGCACTCACCTGCTCCAACAGGGTGTCCATGCTGCCGTGCAATAGTACGAACACGTCGTACATGCTCGTCAGCAATGCCTTGAAGGCGGCATTGGTGCAGGTGCCACCCGCCCAGGACTTCCGTACAACCTGCACGTCCCGGGGGGTTGTTTTGGCGAAGTCGTTAGGAGGTTATGCGGGGGTTAGATTGGTTGGATCGAGTCTTCACGGCCTTATGGCCTGTACGTGGTGAGGGCGGTGAGGGCAGGGAAGTCGAGAGACGATGCTGGTGGAAGGGGGGAATGGGAAGGGCCGTATTACGACACCTGCCGGTCTCTTGAGGAACAAAAACACACATACACATACACACACGCACACATACACTACACGCTGCTGGTGTGCTTGCATGTAGGATAGCATGTGTGCAAAAGAAGACGGGGCCCCAGGGACACAGCCGTCCTTCGGGCCCAATGCAACCCCAGTCCATGTGCCGTACAAGTCTATACATGGGCATACATACATGCATACATACATGAGGTAGCGACACAGGGTGGGTCGCACGCCCTGGGACGAGCTTGAGGGGACTGTGGCCCCCCACGGCCCTCTCCTCCCGCTAGGGGTAGAGTGCTTCGGCGGTCGTTCCCGTCGGGGTACACGGTTAGGTGCCCCTGGCCACCACCATTATAACCACCATCACAACTACCATTATAACCACCATCATAAAGGCAAGCTCAAGCAACCCACCAATCCATTACCTACCTACCTACCATACATACTCCCCCTTTCCCCCCTGGACCGCGAACGTATCTCACCGCCAGCACCCAGATGGATGGCTCGCACTCAAACATGACCCACTTGTTGTGCTCCGCGACCATGGTCTTGAACCGACTGCCGTTCTGTTCAGGGATGTAGTGGTTTGGTGGCTTGGGGTGAAGCAGGTGTGCGTTGTGTGTGGCGGTGCATGCAGCTAGATGAGCGGGTGAGAGTGTGTGTGTGTGAGTGTGTGTGTGTGTGTGTGTGTGTGTGAGTGTGTGTGTGAGTGTGTGTGTGAGTGTGTGTGAGTGTGTGTGTGAGTGTGTGAGTGAGTGTGTGTGTGAGTGTGTGTGTGAGCGGGTGAGTGCAGATGGGCGTGTGTAGGACGGTGCGGGTGGGCTGGTCCGAGGGGGATCTCGTCAGGGCTGAGAGGCCGAGCAGGAAAGGGTAAGGACGCTGGTGCTGGCAAACCCTAAGACAGGAACATCACGGAGGAGTGGAAAGGATGGGGAAGGGCGGGGGAAGAAGGCCGGGAAGGAGGGGAAGTGTTGTGTGTTGTGGAGGGGATGTGGCAGGGCAGGCCTTACTGTTGGACTCGGCCGTGGGTGGTCCAGCCATAGCCCGACAGGATACCACGTGATGAATCTAAGGCGTGCGGAGGTGTACCTGGTTCAGCGTCGCCGCGAACGAAGAGACGGCCTGTGCCAGTCCGACAATGGAGGTGCGCACGTGGATGGGCGCGATGGTGGGAAAAAAGGAAAGCAGCTTGTCTGCTTCCTCGCCCTCGCATTGTCCACGTCTGGTGTCGTAGACTGCAAATACTAGGTTTGTACTGCGGAAGAACGCCGCGACTGGGTTGGCTGGTGGTTGCTGCGAAGAAAAGCTGTACTGCATGGCTGGCAGTTTTTGCGTGACTCGCTGAGCCACACGAGTTCTATGTCATCATAATGATCTATTCAGGATGGCTTCTAGTGAGGTTAGGAATGCGTTTGCCGGTCGAGAATGCCATAAAAGTCTCGGCATCACCTGGTCGAGGAAAAGATTCAGTCGCAGTCGACAGAGTACAGTTAGTTTAACACAATAAATATTTTTCAAAATTATGACAAACAACAAATGAAACACGGCGGCATGGACTGGGCAACTCCATGTTTGCCGACCGTACGCGTGCAGAGGCATTCCCTACCCAGCACCGCAACGGAGCTCTTGTGTGCTATCGCGCGCAGATCCCAGGGTTACGAGCTAAGGAATCAAACTCGCATCAGAGAAATGCTTTCCTCTTGATGCTTGGGCTGGACTTGCTATGGTGGCGCTACAGGAGTGAAATAACACGAGAGCTTGCAGGCAGGTCTGCCTTTGGCTTCAAGCGATACATCCGGCCCTTCCGCCCCCACAGAAGCCCCAATATTCTAATCCTTACCCGGGCCTCCTTGTCATACCCATGGTTGGGCAGTTACCCACGATGGGGAGGCTTACCTTGTTGGCCGCAAGTTGCGGCCCGCAACGTAGCCTGATTCATGTTACACATGAGTTAGGCCTCCTCTTTGGGAGAATGCTTGTATTTGGGTGCAGAGCGCAGTTTCAGTCCACCTTATTCTCGACAAATGCCTCGTCAGCCCAGGTCAACGCACCGCACTCTACCCCAGTACCGCGAAGGCTGCCTTTCTTAATCGGAGCGGTTGGGTTTGCATGCGGCCCTAGGGCGCAGTACGGAGGCACGCGGTCCACGGTGCGCAGAAAGTCCCCGGGCTGCGGACTAGGCTCGCCCCTGGCTATTCCCGGGTGACTTTCAGCCTTTGACATTAAGCCTGGCACAGAAAGTACCCAAGGAACGCAGCGCGCGCGAGTTTAGATCTAAAACAGAGGGGAGCTGCGAGATGGGGCGGGTTACGGGAATATGTTTACGCGCGACCTCCTACCCCGTGTACCGTGTTCCGGAGCTCCGGATGCCGGGCGCCCTAGCGCCGCCGTACTTGTGGATGACTTCAACGCGACTTTGCTTGGCCACATGTATAGGTAAAATTAAATTCGTAGCCTTAAGTTGTGTTTGATTTGCTTTAGCATAGAGGCCATGGCGACTGTTGAGCTACTGGACAAGGCGATTGCGCTTGTCGACAGCTTGATCGCAGGATCGAAGCCAACAGCGCCGGCAGCTGGAACAGGTTAGGCATCGGTTTTTATTCCTGACTGTAGCAGTAACGCGCAACTTCTGTATTTTCAGTCTGGCCGATGGCCATCTACACGCCGCCCTTGAAGCAGTTGTTTAAATCCCTTCCTTTCCTTATCTGACAATCCTTGCAGCAACTGCTTGTGCTCCCACTTCATCAGCAGTCGCGTCCGCAGTGCCAGTAGCGACCGCAGGTGCTACCTCCCCCGCCGCTCCGAAACCTGCTAAGAAGCCCAAAGAACCTAAGCAAGCGGCCCCAGCTGCAGCAGCATCTGCACCCGCACCCGCGGCCTCCGAAGATGAGGCCCTTTTTAACCGGGTTCTAATCAAGGTGCGCTGCCAAGCCGCCCCTCAGCAACAGCATCAGCTGCTTCAGCCCACCACTGCAGGCCACCACTCCTGACCCAACATCATTCAGTAGATCGCTCTGCCGTCCTGCCGCCTTCTTATCATTCGCTACCCGACATACGCGCTATCCGACCCAGATCGCCACGGTCACCATTCTGCCACCGCAAACCCAGCATCCATCCCCTTCCCTCCCCACTACGCCCTCCTCATGCACCTCCCCAGCCCCACCCACATAACCCCCGTTTCCCTCTTCGTGCGGATTTTGATTCCCTCAGGCGCCCGTCTCTCCCTAGGATAGTTATACCTAGTCCAATACCCATACAGCCGTTTTGGATTTCCAAATTCAGCTTTGCTCTGACACCGCAGTACGTACTAAATGTATACTAAGGCCGTTTTCAGATGGGTATCTTTTGCCCCATCAGTAGTCTTGAGCCTGTTTATAAAGTTTTAAAGTATTTTTCCTTCCCGCCATTTTTACAATCTTCGTCAGCAGTTGGCCCTTTGCTTCTTGCATCATGCGACTTCCCCTCTTCCCTCTCCCGTCCCTTCCGTCTCGCTTCCCGCCTTCCCACAGGTGGCTCGCATCGCTGTGGTGGAGCAGCTAGCCAACAGCGAGAAGCTCTACAAGCTACAAATCGATCTGGGTGCCGGGGAAACGCGTCAGGTCCGTAAGCATGTCTGTATGTCTGTACAAATTGACGGGTGTGAGGAGGGGCTGCAAGCAACGAAAGGCAGGCAAAACACTACCAGTGGACCAGCGCAGACGTAGGGGGGTTGGGGGGAAAGACGAACCACGAGCGAGTGGGGATGGGTGGGGGGGATTGGGGGGGGATGGAAAAGGGGGGCCCCCAAGTCAGCGCAGCACTTATTGCCAAGTAAGGATGACCAGGGTGGTAGGGGCGGTAAGGTAGGTGGGTAGCGGCAGCACTGAGTCCTCCGAGGGGAGGGTTACCTGTCGTGGGGAGGGCTGCTGGCGGCAGCACCTACTCGGAATGCAGGGGGCCCAATAGCCCCAGGGGGCCGAAGGCTGTCCGAAATAGATAAATATCGTACAAAACGAACACGAATCAAGCTCTTATCCTACTCGCTCAAAAAAGAATTTTTTCTCACGTCGAACTAACCGAACTACCCAGGCCCTGGTATGCAGTAGCAGTGCCTGTGTCTGCTCCTCAAGCGGCAATCCCATCCTGAGCTCTTGTCACTATTACCGTTGTTTTTGTTATTATTATTATTATTATTATTATCATACGCAAACATATATAATGGTCCCTATCATAGTTAAACTTGTCAGCATGTCGGTTGCTGTTAGTGTTGTTGACGCCCTAAAGCGTGCTGTATGTGTGTGTGTTTCTGTTGTCTGTGGTGCCGTACACATGCTCAGGTGTGTGCAGGTCTGCGGCAATACCTGACGGTGGAGCAGCTGTCAGGGGCGCTGGTGTGTGTGGTGGCCAACCTGAAACCTGCCAAACTGGCGGGGGAGGCCAGTGAAGCCATGGTGCTGGCGGCAGGTGAGCTGCCTCCATCGGAACTGAGTGTAAATGCAATTGTAAATGTAAATTAAATGTAAACCTCGAACCAGCTGGAAAAGGAGAGAAAGGAGATGGTGAGGGATGTGCTGGCGTTACTTCAGACCTCCATTCGGCGTTGTTTCACTAACTTTTTTACTACTACCACACATTACACTTTGCAGAAGTGGCGGCAGGCGACTCGCTTTTGGTCCGGACGCTCATCCCACCAGGCGAGTGAAGTGGGGGCCTGTGGGGGGGGCAAGGGACTGTGGTGTGCGGGATCTCCTCACCTGCTCTGGCTGGTCGGTGTGTATGTTGTTACAGGGTGGTTAAGCTTCACCAGCGGCCCCCTTTCCCTTGGAGGCAGTTCCCTGCTCTCCCCTGCGAGAGGGGCACCCTTATCCATTCACCCCATCCGACTTCAGAATGTATTCGTTGGGTTCAGCAACTCACCACCAGCATCCAACCAAATCTAGCGGATCAATGGCGCCTCAACTTAGTTCCTGGTCAGCTCGCAAGTTGATATAATGACGTCCTACACCGTCCACAAGATGGGGGGCCACCTCCCAATTCAACACCCCTCGCACACCCGAGGGGTCAGCAGGCGGATATGAACCCGGACACTCCGGGAGTAGAAGTTAGACCTTAACTTCTGCCAGCCGCCTGCCTATAATGTATAGTATATATGTGAATTGGTATATGTATAGGTATATCTCAATAGAGTTCTCCTGTCAGGCCTCTCCCCCCACCACAACACCCCCCCCTCCGTACATACACAGCCGGTGCTGCTCCCGGTGATGTGGTGTTCCTGGAGGGCGGCGGTCCCTCCCCCGCGCCAGACAAAGTCCTCAAGAGTGACCACTGGAAGAAGATCGGTGCTGGGTTGCGGGTGGCAGCAGGTCGGGCCACGTTCAATGGCCGGCCGCTGGTGACGGCAGCAGGGCCCGTGACCTTGCCACCAGAGATAGTGGACGGCTGCGAGATCCACTGATCTGGCGGTGCTGGTGCTGGGGCTGGTTCCGGAGCTGGTTCTGGTTCCGGGGCTGGTTCTGGGGCTGGGCACCGTTCTTGTGATGAAGGGCATGAAGGGTGGATTGGATCCAGGTTCCAAGACGGAGGCTTCTAGATCCCTATTAGGATCCAAGAAGAAAGGTTAGGCTGCATTATGTGGATCTGTGATGAGTAATCAATTGGGGATTGAGGAATGAATTTAATGAGCAAATCGTTTGTGGTGGAGTGTGGAGGTGGAAAGATAAGAACAGAATGGGTCCAGGGTGGTGATGGTGGGAGGGTCTAGGGTCTCTAGGTGGTGTACGACATGACTTAACCTGACCTGATGGATCTCAGGTGGGTTCAGGACCGATTGTCGTGACATTTGCTTCCTGCTGGCGATATGCCGTACTGCGGGATGTGTGTAGCTTACCTGACCTCTGGGTGCGGGGTTACGTACCTCATTTAAAGTTCAACTTGAGACATACATACATACATACATATCAGAGGATAGATAAACCAGGCAGGCCCTGGCCCGGCACACGTGGATCACAGCGGCGGGGCCTGCAGTACCGGGCCTCGGGAATCCCACTGAGAGTCCCAGTGAGTCCCTGGGCAGGATGGCTCCGGGAGGATGCGAAGGGTGAAAACCGGAACTGGAAATCTGACACCGCCCAGTGTTATTGCACTTTCCCAGTGTACAGGATGTAATCCAGCGTCCTCGTTCTCGCGTGGCTTCTTGGGCGGCTTGGTGACGGAGGAGCTCCCAGAAGCCTTACTGACTTTGGAGCTGAAGTCGAAGTTGCCACGGCGAAGAAGCAATTCCTGCTTGAACAATTCCCACGACGCCCACCGCCTCGTAGCGCCGTTGTCGTGATGCCAGCGAAGGGACGCGCTAAGGGAATCCGGGCACAACTCCAGCGCGTATTAAACGAATGCAACCTCCGGAAACTCGGGCATAAGTGCGCGAAGGTCCTCCACGTGTTGAATGAGGAGATCAATCGTAGGAATATCGCCCGGCTTCGTACTCCTCAAAAGTTGAGGAGGGTTCCCCTTTAGTTCCCCTAAAGCACTAACTTGCTCAACGTATGCCTCTTATATCCATGTTCTTCTTCTTCCCCTAAAGGGGACGGAGACTTTGGTTCCCCTTTGGGGAAGAAAACGAAGGGGTGTTCCCCTTCTTCCCCTTAAGTACCAAGGCTTCGGAGCAATCGCCTGCGACTTTTTTGCTTGGGTTCATCAGCTGTTCGTGTAACTGTCTATCCTATTCCTGGTACAATTTAGAATTTCCCGATTATGATTCCATGTGAGGTTCAGCACCCGTATTTGCTCTGCTTTCTAGGACCATACAACGTGAACGAAGCAACAAAGCGGCAAGCCTGAGCGTCTCTCAGAATGCGCCGTCCTTTCCAACAGGGCTTCAGATGTCTGTGGTGGCCCAGTGACACGTTAGTTTATTCTGACACGTGTGTTGGTTCGCTCATTATGGGCCGGAACCGTACAACTCACCCCGAAAGACTACCCAGGACGGTTTCGACAAAATAGGGGGGTCCTTGTGAAGCAGCTGCCCGCGTTTCTAAAGCCTGTATGTTGTTGGATAGTAAGTTGCAGAATGGGGCCAGGCTGGAGAGGCAAGTGCAGTGGCATAATGGAATGTAGATGAGTAGAAGCTGTTTCCAGGGCGTTTGGCGCACGGCACAATGTACATGCAGTCATGTCGTTGCAGGCGCGTATGCAAGAACAACAGGAACAACAACCAGAAGAACAAGAACAGCACCACAGGAACAGCGCGTGCACAGGCCACGTTGCGTCGGTCCTTTGCTATGATGTAGGAACGAAGAATAAGGCCTAGGTTCAAGTTTCCTGTTGCGCGTGGATGGCCATGCCAGAACAGGCAACATGATGGGTGAACTCGCACGCAACCAACTTGCCCCCGAGCACGCGACGAGCGGACATAGAAAAGAGCGCAGCGGGCCCCCCCCTTTCCCCCAACGCTCACGCAATAGACCATCCCAAGCGCTGCTGTCCGTATGGGCCGCAGCCGCCGTTCACACACGAGTTAAATCCGACATGTATGCACCGTGAACATGTATGCACCGTGAATGAAACCCTAAGTGTGATCGTGCCCAAATACAACAGCACTGCCCAATGTCCAGAAGCCTAGCGCCGAAATCGTGGGACCCTGTCCGTCAAGCGTTAGGTGTCCAGTTGCTGTGTGGGCTAGGCGAGCGTGGCTGAGGGCGTCATCGTCTTGGACTGTCACGGCGGTGGGCGTGTGGGCGCTGCCGGCGCGTTGCCGGCTCATCGCGTAGAAGGCCGGGCTGGCGGAAGGCGGCCCGCGCAGCACATTGTAGCCGCCCGGCCCCCGGGCCTTGAACTGCGCGATGTAGAGGGCCTCCATCTTTTGGGCTAGAGCAGGATTGGCGGTGCGCAAAGCGTATGATGGTCGACCCCGCCGGCTAAAGCTACACGTCCCCAACTGAAGATATTCTCGGTGGTTTACCAGCAGGTGTTGTGCTTCTTGCTGTCTGATGTCCTGAACGCTTCCTCTTCCCGCAGCCGTTTCAAGCGCCCAGTCTTGCAAGCTACGTTGTATGCTTTCATATCTTTTCATATCTTATTCAGCTCAGGCTAAGCAGCCAGCCAAAAGTCCGAGATGCATACCGCTTGTGACTGCGGCCAACATGCCCTGACGAGCGGCCTTTCGCCGAAAAAATTACATACACTTTTACAGGCGCATTTTGAGAATTGAACGCGCGCATCCGCACGGCAAAATTCGCTCCTGGCTTTTTTGGGACGATGTACGAACTGTTTTTGGGCACAGTACGACCGGACACATTTGTGCGAGAGGCTGCTTAAACATGGGCACCTTCACAGACAGGCAAGTGACCCATGCGTTTGGGCAAAGAACATTTACATACGTTTGTTTCATAGACTGAAAGTCCTAAAGCGTTTTTGCACATTTGGTACCGGCATGTAGCGGGAAGTCGCATGGAATATATATTTATTGAACGCATACACATATAGCCCAACGATAAGTTACCAGTTCGCAAGAATAAAAACGGAACAACCAGAACTTGCTGACACCTATGCCGTGAAGTTTTCGTCAACCGCTCCGCCTTCTCGTACATGAAAAATCTTCGCAAAGAGTAACGAAGCACGCGAGCTTTTGCACAACCCATACGACACCTGGCGTGTACATCCTTTGCTGAGTTGTTGTCTGACAGGAATTCTGTGCTGAGCAGTCGTTGCATTTCCGCAGCTCGACGAGATGGGCTCCCGGAAGTTGGGCCCAAAGGCGCAAGGATCGTGTATGTTCCCCTTGAACTTTCAAATTCTCGCCGATGAGCTTGTCAAAGCTTGTGAAATCGTAGACTACAAGTCACCAACCGCACCATTCCTTTCCTGTTGGGACCAGGCTTGCTTGGTGTTCAGTTCCGTAGGCGGACAGGTGCTTTTTAGGAACTCGATAGTGGCACCAGTATTAAAGGAGGCACTCGCGCAAACGCTGGCTGAGTTGCCTTGGTTTGCGGGTAGACTCGTGCAGCGAGAGGTGCGTAGCATCTTAGGTCGTCTTCCAGTCACAAGCTGTTTTTTTTGTAGAATTGAAATCACGTGCTTCCTCCCCAGGGATTGAGGTGGCGGCTTCACGCCCTTCCATTCTTGCCTGTTGCTGGTTGGTTCATTCTATGCTTACCCTTACGTGCCACCAGCAAGTCCGCGTGCCATATACACAGTGGCTGACCTGGCTGTCACGTAAATTATTAACACGAACAGAGATAGAGCAACATTGATCTATGGTGTGTACTTGTGATTTGCAGGATGGCCGGACATACGATGTCGTCTGCAATAATGGCGGCGCAAGGCTGCTCGTGGCGAGCACCTCAGCAACAAAAGATCAGCTTGCCGCAGCTATGACGCCCGGCCCAAGCATGGCATCCAACCACGACGCATTCAATGTCATGGCAAAGTACGTGCTGCCCCGCTCGGCTGACGACATTGTGAAGCAGCAGGTAGGTGCGAAATTGCGGATGAGGTGGTCGCTGAAGGGCGTCTCTTCGCGCTAAAATCGACCAACTTTGGGGTTGAGAGGTCGTTACGGCTAAAACTTGTGCGCTAGCACGCACGCTGGCACGTGGCCTCAAGCCTTGGCCCGTCCGAAGTACCGCGGTACCAAACCTTGGCAGCAGCGTGGCTATCTTCAAGGGCAGAACTATTTTTTGAAAACACTTTTGATATCTTGGTTTTCTTTTGGGTTTCGAGTCTTCTGCCTCCTTATCTTAGAAGGGTTTTTAATGATTTCATGGGTACGATGCATGTATGTGAAATGGCAATTCAATATTTGCCACAGACTCTTCATCAGATTTACTGCGAAATTTTGAGTCAACATTACAATTTTTTCCCAATTCCTCAACCGAGGTAATAATTGCGCGAAGTTCCGACTGCGCGGGGCCGACCGGGGAGACAGTAGCAGCGGAGGGCCATTTCCCCCCCTTGGAGGATGTCCACGCTGATTGGAAGCATCTTCACAACTACCAGGAGGAGCACTTCCGTTTCAAAAAAGCATTGCAATCGAACCCGCTGCTTGTGTGCATAGCTCAGTTGGGGAGTTGGGGGACCAGCAGCCTGTCGTAACTACCATATGATGCTGGACAGCCTCTCTTCGCCATCCCTGCCAACGCCATACTTGTACAGCAGTCAACAGCTGCAGCAGTCAACGTGGCTGAGGGCCCTGCGCGCAGAGAGCCATGCTTTTCAAATATTTTCCACATGAATATATTTTTCCTTTTTTTAATCATCGCGAAGTGACACGAACTGCACCACTACGGCATGAAGCGATACACCAGCACCAGAGAAACAGCTTCATGTATCGGCCCTGCAGCCGCAAACACATCCTGCATTAGCACCCACCCTGCCCCTTGATTGGTTGCTGCAGCTACCCCTCGCAACGGTTCTGCTCGTCCATCTGTACGGAGGTGGCGCCCTGCTCGTCCCAACCGCATATCACGGTCTCGTCGATTTTGAGGGGCTACAGACGTTCGTCTCGCACCTCTCAGTGGCTTACAATGCCTTGCTTGCGAAACGTAGCAGTAGCACGAGCACCGGCGTTGGTGTCGGCCAGGTCGGCGGGGACAGCAGGGACGACGGTGGCTTCGGCAGTGGCTATGACAAAAGCGGGAGCAGCACTAACCGCAACAACGGCGATAACTTAAGTACAAGTAACAACGACAAGAACAGGGATGGCAGTAGCACTAGCAACAATATCAGGAGTACCAGAAACAGCAGTAGTATCATTAGGCGCGGGTTTTTCGCACCCGAGGCGGTGGAGCGATTGTGCGAGACAAACCGCCTGCGTCCCGGTTCGAATCCCCGGGAGGCCATGGCGGTGTTGTCAAAATGGAGCGGACCGCTGGCGCTGCTGCGCATCCTCTACCAACTCTTCGTACGGGGCGGCGGTGTGGAGGTAGGGGCGCGTGCGGGATGCGTGTGTGTGTGTGTGTGTGTGCGTGTGTGTGTGCGGGTGCGGGTGCGGGTGCGGGGCCATCAATCCGGGCCTGACACTGGCCAGGGGCACCTAACCGTAACCCCAAGGGGAACGACCGCCGAAGCACTCTACCCCTAGCGGGAGGAGAGGGCCGTGGGGGGCCACGGTCCCCTCAAGCTCGTCCCAGGGCGTGCGACCCACCCTGTGTCGCTACCTCATGGGCCTACTTCGCTCGACAAGACTTGTTCATCTTGTTCAATAATGTGATTTTCGCATTTCATTTTACAAAAAAAAAAGATGTTGGAACAAAATAAACAAGAAGCCGCCTCGCCCGCATCAACACATCCAAAAGCAGCATAACCAAATTTGTAATTTACATCAACCCAGCTTCGGCATATGCTCGAAGTCCCCCATGACCCATTCGCGCTCAACTCGTCTAACAATCCGGCAACCTGACATACCGACATGCACACATGCACCTTGCATGCGTATGTGCTGTGTGGCCGCAGATACGCTCTTATTGGATTCCCCCAGATCGGCTCGCGGACCTCAAGCATGCAGCCACCCAGCAGCTCAAGAAGGGAATGGTAGGGCCTGCATCAGCGCCGGCAGTGGTAGCAGCAGCAACAGCAGCAGCAGCAGCAGTAGCAGGATCCGAATCCGTGCCTTCCGCGGCAGCGGTGCCACCGCCCTCCTCGTCCGAGGTGGAGTGGGTGTCCACGCGGGACTGTCTGGCGGCTCGTCTGATGCAGGTGCGGGTGCGGGTGCGGGTGCGGGTCGGAGGTTATGTTTGGGTAGTACTTGTAGGGCACTGGGAACTGACAGTCATTAGGTCTATGGAGTTCTGTGTGTGTATGTATGTATGTATGTATGTATGTATGTATGTATGTATGTATGTATGTATGTATGTATGTATGTATGTATGTATGTATGTATGTATGTATGTATGTATGCGTGCGTGCGTGTGTATGAGCGTGTGTTGGGGGGGGGAGAGGGTGAAGAGGGGGAACTGGCGGCAAGGACCCAGGGATGGGGGAGATTGGAGAGTCCTGCGGCGCCTGGCAGGCCGCGGGCATTTGCCCGGGGATTTCCGTTGTGACGGCCGGGGGGGGGCCATGTGGGGGCCGCCTGAAGGGCCAGGAAGCGGCGGGTTGCAGCACGCAGTGCTCACCGCCGCTCTCAGCGGAAGCCGGTGATGTAGCTGCCGGGAGTAGTACTCACCAGCGAGTGTCAGGATCAGGCGAGCCATCGTGTAGGGGCAAAGTTGTCCACTTCAGGATGCGACGTGCCGTAGCCTTTGAAATTGACTGGTGAAGATGTTTCGCTTGACGGTCTCGTTTACGATGCGGGGGGGTAAAAAGAACGGACAACACTGCTACTGCTGCTGCTGCTGCTGCTGCTGCTGCTGCGGATATCGCCGCGCAGGTGCTTCATTCGATTCCTCTGAAACGCAGTCAGCCCTCCATGTTCATGTTGGTCATTGCGAACCTGCGGCCCCGTGTACGGCCGCCGTTGCCGGACAGCCAGCTGGGCAACCACATTTGGGGCGCGCGTGTGGACTGCGTAAGGCCCTCCGAGATGGAGCTGGGGGAGGTGGCGGCCCGGGTGCGACTTGCACTCACCAGGTGCGCACTTTGTTAATGTGCTTTTCTAAAAAATGTTTTAATTTTACGAGCTGTTTTGTTTAAGAGTTGTTTTGTTTTCGAAAGCTTTTTGTTTACGAGCTGTTTAAAAGCGTGTGTAATGTATGTGTGTGGGGTGCGGTGGGGTGGGGGAGGGGGTTTGAACAATCATTAAAATCAGGAACATGCAACGTCACTTGCGGCCATGTCGCTCGCACTTTTGCTGCGGCCAGGATTTGTCCGTACAAGCTCGCGCGAGGCACGCGTGTGCGACATGGGGACACCAGATCTTCAATGATGTGTCGCATTATTGATTGCACACTTCAACGCAGGGATTTGCCTGCGCAGTACTGTGAGATCGTACGGCAAATGAAGATGTTGACTGCCGTACACGCGGCCCGGCAGCTGATTACCGAACTGATCATTACGCGAGATCCGTACAAGTGCCTGGTGGCGCCTGAGGGACCCATCATGGTGAACGAGTGGAGGGTGCAGTACGACTTGTGGCAGGTACGTGCCGTACGTCGGGTAAAACCCGAAGTACGCCGGGTTTGCAAGAGAGAGAGGAGGAACAGAGAGGACGAATCCCTTGTGAATGTTGTGAAGTCTTGCCGGTGTTGGGAGTACGACCTCGCTCTTTTTTGAAGGTACAAGACATTTTTCCGCAGGATTCTCCTTTCTTCTCTCGCTTACTCCATCCGTACTTTATTCCAGTATCCTAACTGATTAACTAACTAACACTGCTGTACAGCTCCTTAACAAATGGTATCTGTAAGGTGGGTGACCACCACACGGTGTTACGTGGGCTAAGAAAGCTCTTTACGGAGAGAGTTCGCATTGATTTTGCATGGACGTCACGACCACCAGATGAATTTGGAATTTTGCATCCTCCCCCCCCCTCTCTCTCTCTCTCTCTCTCTCCCCTTCCCCCCAGCTCCTGTAACCCCTCCCCGGCCACTCAGCCACTAACCGCACTCTGAGGGGCCCCCAATACTTCAGTACATGCCCGTACCCGTAAAGAACCGCATGCAGACATACATACATGAACACACGCCTTCTAAAAAAACCTAAAAAAACAGATTTGCTTATTATATCCATTCGCCAGCTGCGTATGTGTATATTCTGTGTGTGTGAGGGGGGGTGGAGAATGACGGCTCATGGGCACGTGTGGCAGGATTAAAGGGCACAACCCGCCTCGTTGAAAACCCTCTTTGCTCTTCAGCTTGGTGGTGGGTTTACGTTCCCGGCCCGAAAAAAGCCGAACCATTCCCCCCCTCGCTCCCCCTCGCTCCCACATCACCAGCACACGCCCCCCCCCGCAATCGCCCCCGCTCACAGTTCGGCCCGGAGCCCCCCTTCGCCTTTAACCCGGTCATCCCGCCAGGGCTGAGTCCCAACCTCGTGTGCAGCTACCCCGCGGCACCACACGGTGGCGGTAGCGGCAGTAGCGGGGGCACCGGTGGTCTCTTTTTGATGGTATCTCTCCACCGGGCGGTGTGGCGGCAACTGGATGCCGTGACGGGAGGCGATCTGGTGGGGGCCTTATGAGGGCGGTTAGGGGGTGTACAGAGGCTGGGAGGACGTGAGTGTGTGGGGGGGTGGCGGTGGCGGTGGTTGTGGTGTTAGTGGTGGAGGCCGGGCAGAGGAAGTACGAGCACGTGGGTGAAGCGGCGCAGGGTGTGACACAAGGGATGTGGCACATAGGTCGCAGCGAATGGGTGTCCAAAATATTGGGCGCCGTCATGCCAGACGTATAAGAGTTATAAGATACAATAAGATACACAGCATGTATAGCTTTTGATGGATCTTTGAAGTTTTGGCATGAACATGAGCTACGAATGAAGCTATGAGAATGGGGGGGAAGGGAGAGGAGGGGAGGGCAGAGGAGGTTGCGCGAGGAGTAATGAAAACGCGGCACGACGACTCCTCCCCCACACCACGATGCCGATCTCTATGCACCATGTGAGGCATAGGTCGGCATACACTTCACCTCGACAGCGAAAAGCCGATGGTCATAAGCTGTGGTCAATGTGGCGAGGACCGGGGCGAGGAGCGGTGAGGCGGGGTTGTCGATGTCTCGGAAAAGATTTTTCCGTCTCAACATTTCGCCACACACCAAGGATCATAGGAAATGTGATTTGTTCGCACTGATTTGACTTACACCTTGTCTCCCTCTCCTGTGCGTGGGAGAGAAATTGCTACCAAATGCCATGCTCAAGACTCCTATTCGTACTGCTACTCGAACTAGATGCTTGTTTGTTACTACTATTGTACCTATACCTATGGTGCCAAATAAGCAAGACGACGTGTGCGAGCGCTGTCCAACGGACGTGTTGTCGCTGTGAGTAGAGAACCTGAGCTGACTACAACATACACTACTGCATAATACGCGAATCCGAATCCGAATCCGAGCTCAACAACAGCCCACGAGTACAGCTGCTGAGTTCAAACCTAACATACAACTGTTATATCAGCAACGCGCTTTGAAAACAATTGAAGTTCGTTTCGGCGCACCACCTGAAAGGAAGGAGCACCATCGCGCATTTTTGCGGACTGACGACGAGCTTTAATTTTCTGAGCTTTCGGAACCGTATTTTGATGATGGAGAACAGCCGAATTCGTTTTCCTTTTTCCGAGAACAAGACGGATAAGAGACAACTTATTCCTACTTCAAATTTCTATCATCCACATCTAAACCACACCATGTTTCTATCATCCAGCATTCTTTGACTTGTCTTACGACGAAAATACAACTGTCAACGTTGCCGCTCCGCTCCTGCTCGTTTTCGTATGTTCTGGCCTTCTTTACCAATAGCAGACTCCTCTCCTCTCCCAACCCAACAGCCAGCAATAAGTGCCCCCCTCCCCCCTCCCATCCCTTTTTCCTCTTCCCTTCCACCTCACGACCCCTGCCGACACCCAACTCCCTAATTCCTGAAAAAAAATTCCCACCGCCCCCATGTTTCCCTATGATGGCGGTTTGCCAGCAAGTCTGCTCGCCTGCCTTCCCGCATTCGCCCTCCGCATGCCCCGCAATCGAAGCCACCCACCATATCAACCCATCCACCAAACCCAACGATCCACTGCATTACGTAATACGCGAAAAGTGTACACGGCCCCAGCGTACACACATGGACATGCCGTACATGGTACGGCATCCATACCCCTCCCGAAGGCCCTTAAACCCTTCCTGTTATCCCTCCTGATTTGGGTTTTAGCTAAATGGAATGCTTTTCGTTGCCGTACGCGGTTCTAGTTATGTGTGTGCTAACGAGGCACTCTCACGTCGCCATGTCGGCCTATGGAGCGCCGACATCACCTTCCTGCGGTGGCGGCGGCGGCAGCGGCTTCGCATCGCCGCTGCCGCCGCCATCAGTGCCACCGAGGCTGCTGGAGGCGCCGTCATCCTCCACCTTATGAAACGGCGACAAGCCCTCGGGCTCCTCCGCCACCGCGCCCAGCCCGATACGGCCCAGCGGTGCCGGCAGCAACACGTCCTGCGCCGCCGCGCCGCCACCAAGTGCATTCAGCACCGGAAGACCAATGCCGCCGCCGATGGCGGCGGTAGCGGCGACGGGACCGTTGCCGCCGCCGCCCGCGCCGCCGGCTTCCGGCGACGGCTGCTGACCCCCCATGGTCAGATTTATGGGTGCAGTCGGGACGTAGCTGCGACCCGCCGACGTCGCCTCCGCCGCCATCGGCACCAGGCCAAGTCCCACGGGTGACGGACTGGAAAACGGCGACGACGGTACAGCACCAATCAGGTCCCTTGACCTCCGTCGGAGCCTGCTGCTGACGTCGGTGCTAGCGCCGCCGCTGGACGGCGCCGGACCATCAGCGGCCAGGATGCCGTACCCGCTAGGTGCCGGCGACAGCAGCGATGTGATGGCGCCCATGACGGGCCCGAAGGCCGCCGGATTCATGAACTCGCTGCCGCCGCCGCCGCCGAGGCTGGTGCGATAACCGACGTGGCCGATGCCGTTGGGGCCGCCGCCCATGTTGAGGCTGTTGCTCATCCTTAAACTGGTGCTGCTGCAGCGGGCGGCAGCGGCGACGGCGCGCAGGGCGGCGGCTTGCGGCATTCGGTTGTCGTTCATCATGGAGAGCGTACGGCCGACGACCGGTGTTGCCGGGACCATGGCGCGAACCTGGTTACGACACGGCGCGTTGCAACGAGTTGCGACGGCGGCGGCGGCGGCGGCCGCAGAGATGAATGCATAGCGTGTGCGGAGGTCCGTACGGCATTCGTACGGCACACATTCCAGAACAGAAAAAGACGTCCTTAAGCGCCTCTCGCACGTGGGGCAGGTTGCGACAGAATGAAACAAATGCACGGCATGATACGTGCACGGTACGATACGGCATGATACGGCATGATACGGCCACGGTACGACACGCACTTACCACCACGGCTGCGGGGTCCACGGGCCCGTCTCTCTGTATGCCCAGTCCCAGCTCGTCCACCGCCACAATCTTCAGGCAGAACGCGTCGTGCACCCTCTCCACCACCACTACGTGGTGCCCGGGACCCACCAGCCCCAGACGGGAGGCCATGGCTATAGCCTCCTCCAGCACCTGGGGAGCGGGTGGGGGGGAGGTTGGGGGGGGGGTTTAGAATGTGGGAGGGGGAAGAGTGGGGAGTTATTCGGGCTGCCGTACTACAAAACACACAGCGCGTTCTCAACTGAGTCTATTCCCGTGGGGGAAAATACGCACATGCACACATACAAAAACACACACGCGTGTATACATACACACACGTGTATACATACACATACACACACGCGCGCGCGCCCCACCCCCTTACCTCGTCCCCGCTCGGTCCCGGGGCTGACAGCATGGGCAGCAGTCCCCGCACCATGAGGCACTGCCGCGCGTGGCCCCTCCCCTGGAGCCGCCACTTGAGACCGTCCGACGTGAGGCGGGGCACCACCAGCGTCAGGATGGGCATGGGGGGCCGGTACTTGGCCACCAGAGAGGCGACCCGGGAGGTGTGGGTGTACACCACGATTAAGCTGGCTTTGACCTTTGAAGGGTGGGAAGGAGGGTGGAGGAGAGGGTGGAGGGGAGGGTGGAGGGGAGGGTGGGAAGGAGGGTGGAGGGGAAGACGAACCACGAACAAGGGTGGAGGGGAAGTTCGGAAGGACGTGTCTTTAGAAAATCGGAAGGTGGGCGCCTCAACGCTTCTCCCACCCTGTGGCATTGGTTATGACCTCCGGTACGATAGGGATACGATGTACGGCACCGATAGGGCTATGATGTACGGCTTTCTCGGACCCTGCGCCGACCTCCAGTCACACTCTACCCTTAGGGCTTGCTCCCAGCCCACAGCGTCGTAGATAATGCCGTACAAATAAAAACCCTCGTACCTTCTCCGCAGCCCGCACCGCTGACGAAGCAATCGACTCTAGCTTGCCCATGTACGGTCCAGTGGGTCCGCCGCCGTACAGCGTGCCTGCAGTACTCCGTACACTGGGGCTGGCACGGCCGCTGACGTGGCCACTCGTGGGCCCGTGCGTGTGGAAGTGCGGGTGGTGCGGGTGATGATGGGAGCTGGCCCCGAAACCACTGTCGCCACCACCGACCCGTGGGCCACTGCCGAATCGCGCCATCGCCGCTACTGCCGTATTGATGTCGGCGCAGGACTGGCTTCGAGAGGCTGTTGCACGGCGCGGTTCGGCATGTACGGGACAGTTCGGCAGGGTACGGCACACGTTATTACACTAAATAAAAGAAACAAATCCACAGTTGCAGTACTGGAACCGCGCCATCAGCCGACCTCATCCCTAAAAATCCCTGCCACCTTTGTTCTGCTTAAAGAAGCAGAACAAAAGTTTACCCTTTTCCAACCCACCTCATCTACAAATCTGAAACCATAAACAAATTATTGAACGCGAATACCATAATAAAATTTAAACCCCGAGCCCTACGTCACATTCACACCCCCAAACCTTACCCACCAGGTTGCGAGCCGCCACCGCCGCCACCGCCAGGCATTGGACTGTTTCCCGCCGTCGCCGACCCAATGCCGCCGCCGCCGCCGCCGCCATGGGCTCCTCCTTGACCGTTGACGGCGCCGCCGCCGCCGCCAACGATATCCGGCATTGAGGCGTTGCTCCGCGTCCTCGCTGGGGGCCGCGGCGGCAACGCAGCGAAGCTCACGTGGTGCCCCGCGGGGCCGCCGCCGCCACCCGGCGGCACCGCGCCCGCGGCGCCCGGGGCGACCCCGTCCGCCGCCAGCTCGTCCAAATTCATCCCCGACGCTGACGTCGGCAAACCCATGCTGGCCAGCGGCGTCAGGCCGCCAATCTCGCCGTACCCGCCGCCGACGCCGCCGGGGCCTCCGCTGCCCATAGCGGACAGGCCGCCCCCGATGCTGCCCATCATGGCACTCGCCCCCAGTCCCCCCATGCCCCCGGTCAGCATGAAGATGTCTGTGGCGGCATCGTCGTCGTCCAGACCACCCCCTAGGAAGCCCGGCGCTCCGAAACCAACTGATATGGCATCGCGCAACTCCTGAGCATCCATTGCGGCCTGGCAAAGAATGGGGCATGTGCGGTTGGGAGTTAAGGTGGTTGGGAGTTAAGGGTGGTTGGCTGTGGGGCGACGTTGTTACGTGTCCCTGCTCTTATCCAGAACACCATTACAACAACGCCCCCCTCTGAAGCTTTACCGTTACGCAAACACACGAAACACAAAAACACACGCACGTACACCAGCCGATTAACACTGCCTGTACGGCTTCCTTAATGCCGTACTGTCTCGGAGGGCGTTTACCCCGCGGGTGGTAAAACCCGGAACCGAAGGAAGCCCCTCCTGCATTACACGCCGCCCCCAACCCCCAACCCCCAAAACACACGCATACACACACGTACACGCACATGTACGACACACCTGCATGAGCCATTCGAAGTGGTGTCGGAAGTCAAACACCTTCTCCGCCTGCCGGGCGATGCTGACAAGTGTACGGACTGTGGCCACGGGGAACTTCCCACGCAGGGTTTCGGCACCCAGAAACAACGCGTCGGCACCATCCAAGACCGCGTTCGCGACATCTGTGTATTTCGGAGAAGGGGTTTTGGCCGGGAACAGGAACAGGAACGGGATTGTAACCCTTCTAAACACCGGGACTAAAATCAGAGCTAAACCAGAACTAAAACCAGAGCTAAAACCCTTTTAAAACCCTAAGTTAAAACCCACCCGTCGCCTCCGCCCGTGTGGGGCGGGGGTTGTCCACCATAGAGTCGAGCACCCTGGTGATGATGACGGGCTTGCCAACCAAGTTGGCGGCGGAACACAGCGACTTCTGAATGAGGGCGACCTGGCCGGCAGGGGCGGGAGGAGGAGGAGGGGGAGGGAATTGAATGAGGACGGGTGTAGTGAGGTAGGGGGGTTGTCTTATGGAAGCCAAGCTAACTGCCGACCTATACACAACATATAAAGCCGCAAATTGCTTTGGAAGTGGGAGGGAAGGTTCATCGGGGTAAATATTTGGTGAAGCTGCATATTCTGTTTAATAGCCAGAAATTCAGCCAATTTTGAAAAGAAAGTCTTTCTGAGGTGAGGCTTTAAATATATTTAAAGAATAGCTTCAAGCTACGGCAGCTTCATGGCAAAATCCAGTACATTCGTGAAGTAAAAGGTCGTACACTTCTGTACATCTCATCCAGATGGATGGATGGTTTAAGTGAGTTACCTTAACTTGCGCATCAGGACTTGTACGACATATCGTACCATTGTCGTACTTGCCTTTTCTGGCACGCAGTCGAGCCCCAAAAGTCCCCGGGACACGACGATGCCGTCCGCTGCCTCCAAAATACCCTTTGTTGTTGTTATCGGTGGCGACGGTGGCGACGGTGGCGGTTGCGTGGTGATAAGACCGGGTTTGGGAGTTACGGGTTAGTTAGGCGTTTCTTTTTTCGTGTTGCTGCACGCGGGAGTCTTGTGCGGATTTAGACAAAAGTATATAGGGCTTGGTTTGGGAGCTACTTCAGACATTCACACACAGGGACAAGATATAGCAACACAAATGCAGAGACTCGTGCTCGAGGAAACACAACATCCAGAGCCAGAGCCAGAGCCAGGCCTGAAAGCGCAAAAAAGTCCACGTTAAGGAGGGTTAGGAGGGCTGAGCTCCCTTGGCCCCAGCCGCCGTACATGCACATACACACACAGTAACACATTCATAACCCCCTGCCCGCGAGGTGAGTAACACAAAAACCCCTTCTCCCCCAAACCCTCCTCCCTCCCAACCCCCCTTAACCCCTTTCCCCCCCCCCCCAGCCCCCGACCCGCGGGTCACTCACTCGGAAGTTGAACAGCGCCTGACGGGTCTCCACTTTGGCTATAACCGATGAAGACCCAAGGGCGGGAACCGACTCAAGAAACTGTCGTACCTCCCGTACATCCGCACCGCTCCGGCAGTAGCTGATGGACACGAAGTCAATCTTTGATCCCGGCGTGTGCGTGTGCGCATGTGTTTTGGGCGAGGTTGCAACACGGCGGGATTTCCCCGGGAAATATGGAACGCGGGCCCGGGGTTTGGGGGGGAGAGGCAAGTTGAAGATGCGGGATGATGAACGGAGAGGAGTACGACAAAAGTAAGGCACGAACATGCGAGATGATTGCGGTGCGCCATAGGAGCGCTCGAGTGCCGTACAGCGTATTCCACGTACCTCGAAACCGTTGTCCACCAGGTCCCGTAACGCCAACTTGTCGTACTCGGTCATGACGGGCAGGTCACTCTGCATTCCCACGAGCTCCGAAGCCGACCTGCCGTACAGCGGGTTGGGTTCACAGCCGGGGGTCGCGGGCCGGGTAGTGGAGGAGGGGGCTGAATCGTGTCGTGTATTGAGGCCGGGGGGCGGGAGAATATTGGACGAGACAATCAGCCGCAGGGGGCTGCACGACGGGCCGGGTGAAACCCAAACGGGACTTTCGGGGGGCCAGGGGGAAATGATGTAGGTCACGACCAGCAAGTACATCTTTTGTGGAATGTACGACCACTGGCGTTGTGGTGATGAAAGGGAGGGGAGGTCCCACAGCTCTATGACATCCGTATTCTCACACACCCGGGAACGACATACAAACATACAGACGGCAGGCGGCTGGCAGAGGTTAAAGCCTAACTTCTGCTCCCGGCCGATCCGGGTTCAGATCCGCCTGCCGGCTTCTCGGGTGTGTGAGGTGTGTTGAAATGGGAGGCGCCCCCCCATTATATAGACGATGTAGGACGTGATAACATCAACTTGCGAGCTAACCAGGCACTAAGTTGATGCGCCGTTGATCCGCTACAATTGGTTGGATGCTGGTGGTGAGTTGCCGAACCCCACGAATACATTCTGAAGTCGGATGGGGTGACGGATTAGGGTGCCCCTCTAGCAGGGGAGAGCAGGGACTGCCCCGGGAAAGGGGGCCGCTGGCGAAGTTAACCACCCTGTAACAACATACATACATACATACATATATATTATCTCCATTGAACATCCGCAATCGCACATACATATATACATGTATACATATGCATATACATACATACATGCACATGCCATGTTCCTTATGAGTTGTTCCCTCCTGTCGTGTCATACACACTCACTCCCGTACGATGTCGTACCTCTCTAAGTTAAACACGGTGAGCAGGCCGTACATCTCCGCGTCGTTCAGTGCCGTACAGATCACATCGCCCGCATCGGCCAGCACCTAATGATAAAACACAGTACATAGCGGACGTCCGTGTTTGTGTCCGCGTGTGTATGTATGTATTTATGTAAGATTTTAGCCGCGACCGATCAACCTGGTGCGTGCGTTTCCTTTACAGGCACCCACACACAAAAGGAAAAGCGACCTGAAATAAAACCCTAAAACCCTAAAACGTTTAAACTTCAAAATCGGACTCATGGTACCATCCCGAAAGTGATAAAATGGGAGCACATCTCTTTGAATGTCCTTTGTCTCTCCTACCTCTCCACCTAGGGGATGGGGGGAGGAGGCCGCGGAGGGTCTCGGCATTGGGGGGAAAGATGCGGAACGAGGCAAGACCAGGGACAGAAAAGAAGAAATCTAGTTGCTGTACGGCAAATGTACGTGGGCTCATACCGGAAAACTGACGGAGCGCCAGTGCCGTACATGCAATTATCAATCTAGGCGGGCTGCAAGTGTAAATTATTCATTAGGCGTTCGTACGTGCCGTGTTTCGTGCCACACCCACTCGAAGCACGTGTGTGATCCCCTCCAACACGGCAAGCCTCGTACATACGCGTTTACCCTCCCCTTCCCCCACATCCCCCCCCAACCCCCCGCCGCCACCACCTGCTCCACTTTGAGGTAGAGAGAGCCCATTTCCGGTGCACCGCATGCCAGGTAACGACCAATGTACCTGAATGTACGGATGTAGATACGGAGACGGGTACGGATGACGGTACGAACACTTGTACGATTACAGTTGTAGACACCGCACAAGGGCCCAAATGTGTACTTCATCCAACACGCACACGCGCACGTCTGCACAATGCCCTTCAACGTCCAACCCTAAAACACACGCGCTCAGGCAACATGTACATGCATATGCTGTACAATGCTGTACAGTGCCGTACACTCACACGACATCCCCGGTCAGTACGAGGGAGGGGAACTTGGCGTACGTGATCGGCAACAACGAGGGACTGGCCTCCGCATCCTCACGTGTGGTGATGGTAATTGTACTGCCTGCCGTAACCTTGTACGGCTGATCGTGCAGCGGCCAACCCTGCCGTAGATTGGTGGCGGCAAAAGGGTGGCGTTGACGAAACGATCAGTTGTGCAATCTACAGTCAACTTCACAATTTTACATACTGGGCTGGGGTTTGTATCGTGCGAGTGGGTGGATGTTTGGGTTTACCTGCTCAGGTACAATTTGTCGTACTCCGTACTTACATCAGCCCCGAGCCTGTACGGCCTCCGGATGAGCATTTCCCGGCCCAGGATATCCACCTGATCGGGTTTGGAGGTCGCGGGGGATTAATTCGGCGGCGGGGGAGCGAGGGGTGCATGCTCTTGGTGCTGGAGTTAGAAAGGAGGTGAGGGCAGGGCATCCAACCACCCACCCAACCACCCACCCAACCACCCACCCAACCACCCATCCAACCCCCACCCAACCACCCATCCAACCACCCACTCAACCACCCACCCAACCACCCATCAACCCACCCACCATGACGCCACACATGCGCCGTACTCTTTTCATGGCGTTGTTTAAATTGCTCAGCGATCGCTTGTGGTATTCCAAGGGGCCTAATTAGCGGGGAGTTCGATGAGGGGTCCTTTTTAAAATTACAGCGAGCCCAGCATCATGAAGGCGGTGTGAAGACTCAAGGGATTGGTAGGTGGGGTGGGGGAAAAGATGAACCACGTGAACGAGTGAAGCTGCTGCCACGGGGGGAAAGAGTGCTTCGCGGCCGATGTACAGGACGGTAGCAGACAACTGACCAGTCGGCGGTCGGGGTGGGGTGGGGTGGGGGACAGACACGCACTTGGCACTCATAGCTATGTGCCAGAGGAATTGTGAGGCAGCAGCCAACAGGGCCTCAGCTCTGTCGCACGCACAAGTACGTATACGATGGCGTACGGCACATGCGGTATACGGCGTACGGCTTACCCCAAGTGAGGTCGATTCTCGCTACCGTCATTCCCGCCTCTAGCAGCTGAGCCAGAGTGTCCACATCGTTACAGGCGGGGCCTAAGGTAGCTACCACCTGCAGCGGGAGTGAGCCACGGATAAAAAATTTAGATCAACGCTATTGCAGATTTACATAAGCTAGAAAGTGATTGGTGATGCTACTGACCCACGGGTCGTTTCGATGGGGTGCGCCACTGCAGGCCTACATACGACCATTCCTGTCTTCAAAAGGTGTCCCGCCCGGCCATTTTGGAGCCCACTTTGATTTAATCCCGTTGTGCGCGTACCGGGACACCGTTGGCCGTTCATTGTGGAAACGGATGACAGGAGAACCAGCCCTTTGGTCAACCTTGCGGACGCGAAGTGCTTATAAATGAAAGGCAGAGGATACGCGGCTCGCGCTTGCCGGCAACACGCTCCACCACCACGTGCCGTTCTACCTATTTTTAGTATTGAGAGGTACTTGTATTTACGAAGGAAGAGGGAAAACGGAATTTTTGGATGTCCGCTTTGCCAGATCAGGCCAACTGCAAGCACCCCGCAGCTGGCCCGAGTCACGTTTTACAAAGCGCTCTATAAACAGTGGAGCCAAAGGCATGAACCAAGCCAGTCTAGGCCGCATCACGTCTGCTTTGCTTGTTCTGTATCCCCTGTCAGTGTTTTCGCGATGTCGGATACTTTCTTGGCGATGCAAGACCCTTCCTTACGCTCCGGCAGCGACCAAAAACAGAAAGAACCATCCGAACTTCCTTTCGGCTTTCCTTCCGGGTCTTCATGAATCGACCATGTTGCCGAGCAAACAGCATAAATAAACCGTGGAAACGGTGCTAAAGGGATTTCTGTCCTTGGCCCTACCTTACTAGCCACGAAGCAACCCTCAGTGGGGTCAGCGGGCTGCAAGATGGATGACAAGTTGAGGTCCTGGAAGAAATGCGGTCGCGCTTTTGCGCGGTAATAGCGGCTGCCGCCACCGCTGCCACGCATCTTCGCAGCAGCTGCGGATAGGCCTCAAGCCGAAATATGTCGAGGAAGAGGCGGCTGCTGGACGTTGTAGCCAGTCACGTACGAATAGGGGTACCAACGAAGGGCGATGTGCGCTGGATGTGTGTGCCAACTACCGAGTTGCCGGCGCCGCTGCGAAACGGCCTAGGGGAAACCTGGTCTCGGCTCGCGGGAAAGCAGTCCCGATCTATAGCGTTAAGCCGCCCAGCAAGCCTTCACCTTCGCCGCAACTTACAACGAGAGAAGCGTGTTGTTACGCGTGGTTACGGTTTTTAGAGCAGATGTGTTGCGGAAGAGTTATAATTGGAGGGACCCGGTGCAAACGATGAAATGCGTGCACACATGAATGGAATTAAAAGTTGTTCCCGGCGTCATCAGTACGAGGGCGCAAATGTTTTCCTTTAGGAAGACGCTCTATCACTGGCCAAAGCTCAGGAGTGCCGGTACTGCAGCACGCGATTAGGAAGACAAGTGTTGAAGAAATGTTGCAGTGCAGCATTTTCCATACACAACGGTCACTGCGCAATGCCCCACAAGCAATGCCAACTGGAACGCCTTTGCGTGCAGCAAATGCATTTACACTCTGAGCCGCTTGCTCCGCAGTCAACGCCATCAGCGCACTGCGTGCCTTTGGCATTCAACATCACGAGAGCACAAATTGTATGTCCCTCAATTTATAAAAGCCAAGTACACAACCAGCTGTGGCGCCCCCACCGACCCGTGGGTCGCCACCCGACCCGTCCGCAACACACATGCATATGTACAGCTTTGTTTTCGCTCTTCACATTCACACATCGCCAGCATGATCTTTCGCAAAACCCTCCAACCCACGTTACTCGCTGCACCGCGCAGTGAAGAGAGGAAAGACGCAGTTCTGGACTACATTGGCAGACGCATACACGCACATAACGAGCTCAGGTAAACCGCCTTTTCGCTGGACAGACAGGCAGACAGACAAACAGACAGACCAGGCCACCACCGCGCCATTCCGCCCTGTCTGCATGAGCCAGACCTGTTCGACATCGCGCCGATTTAAATTACGCATCCCATGTATCCCGTACATCAGGCCCATGCAGCCTTCCCGCTACTGGGCGCCCTATCCCTGGAGCCGTGTGTCTTTCACACGGCCCTCCCTTAACCTGAAAATGCTATCGCCGAGCCGCTCACGCACCGCAAGGACCACCGCCCACTCTTCGTAATGTGGTACAGGGCCCACGCCTCATTAGCGCCTCTTTGCAGCAGGATCTGGGTCGGATTCGGAACGAGCGACCCCGGCGGCAGCGGCAGCAGCAGCAGCAGCAGCAGCAGCAGCAGCAGCAGCTCTTGCTCCCGCGGTTGCCGCAATGTCAGCATGCGCTTTCTTGTGCACAAGGGCCCCACGGAACCGAGAGCCCTTGGCAGAGTTTCCCGTTACGCTCCATTATACCGCGCTGTAAAGGTGTACTCAGCAGCAAGCTGGTGTGTTGGGCTCGTAATCCTCCACGTCCCATAGCGCGTCCTGCAGGCGCAAGATGGAGCAGCAGTAGTTGTCCCAACGGCGCCCGAACGAACGGCTCGTGTGCAACACGCCCCACCGAGTGCCAACCGCACAACAATGTGAGTCTCTTGTAACGCAGCCAAGTAAGATGAATCCATGCGCGCGGGGCGGAGGACCTCACGACGTTTCTGGCGTCGAGTCATATTGCCGTGGAGAGCAAGGGTATCGCCGCCTGCAGTGCCCTCTCCCCCAATTTTCCATGGCTTGGTAGATGACGGCGGGTATGGCCGGGTCCTTAAAATGACCAATAACTTGGTAGAATGTATTAATCCAGCCAAGTACAGCACGCGGTGCATTGTGACTTTTCTTACCTCAGCTGTGCCTCCAACGACCGTCACCACTGCTCCAACTACCGTGCCAACCATTCCCGTTGCAAGCCACTACGAAACAAGGCAAGCTAGGGCCCCCGCTCACCCTGCACATCCAGTCCTCATCCTCGTCAAAGTTTGCGATGTCAGGCCAGAACTCATCCGGCACTTGCCGCCACGTCTGGCACTTGCTGCACTGCACCCATTGGTCCGTGGCTGCCTCCTCTCCCTCCTCCTCGTCCCCCGCCTTAGCCTGCTTGGCTGCCGCCGCCTGCCGCCGCCCAGCCGCCTGCGGCCCGCCGCTCCCCGCTACGCCAGCGGTGGCTGCGGAGCGCTGGGGCAGTCCCCCCGGTCCGCCGGCGCTCGCGCCCTGCCGCCCACGTGCACCTGATTGGGACAAACACGGTAGAAATGAATTTTGTAAGATGTACGTTAAGGCACTATTGACGCACAGGTGGCAGGGGGTGACCCAAATGATGTAATTGGATCCAATTGGATCCAGAGAAGCCCACGATGAGGGTGTGTGCGCAGAGCAACATAACACATGCTTCAGGTACAGTCTAGACACCCATGGAATGCACCACGTTTTTCACCCAGCCAAGCACAACAGCACATCTCAGGCGCAGCAGCAGTAATAGCTGCAGTGTAGAAGCAGAAGCAGCAGTATAGCAGCAGTATAGCAGCAGAAGCAGCAGTAGCAGAAGTAACAGTAACAGCCGCATAAACCTCGCACTTTGCTGTGGGAAGACATTCTGCGCGAGTGCCGCGGGGCCTCCTGGAAAGGCTGTAGCCGGGGCCCCCGCTGGTCGTGACTGCTGCTGCTGCTGTTGTTGCTGCTGCTGCTGTTGTTGCTGGCTACCCTGCGCTTGCTGCTGCTGGGCTTGAGCCGCTGCGGCCGCCGCTCTTGCTTGCTGCTGCTGCTGCTGCTGCAGCTGTAGCGCAAGAAGGGCTGCGTATTGTAGCTGCTGCTGTGTCTGCTGTGCGGCCGGCGGCGTCGGTGATGGTGTCGGCCCTGTATCTTCTTCCTGCGGTACAAGAAAATACATAGCACAGGAGGCACGAGATGATTTATCTAACCAGGCAGCTGTCTGTGCCGCTAGCAGTGGTAGCCCAGACGCCTGGATGCAGGCATGAGGGGATTGGTTTTGCTGGTGTCGGTACTTGCTGAGAATGAACTTTATGGGGAGGGCGTGGGCCCGACTGGAACGGGCCAACGATCCCGAGCTTTGCGTGCGGATCGAGTGCGCAGAAGATGTGCGCAGAAGAGAGACCCCGTCCTTCGCAATACTTCTTCCCACCTCCACGCACGCATGCGTGACCAAGGCGGTCTTAACGCACCTTCTTCACAGCTGCCGCAGCACCGGGTTCCGCCTTGACTACAGCGGCAGTAGGCCTGCAGTGCGCCCACGCCCGCAGGCATTAAAGGTTATATGCGTCACCCACCAAAGCCCAAAGAGACACGTTTTCACGCAGGCATTCGGGGACGACCCGGGGCAGGAAAAGTCCAGTCCTTCACGGGTGCCTCCTTCCCGGCAAACGGCACGGGAAGCAACGTGCATGGATAGCGTCACATTGCGCCATGCGTCTACGCCTTGAGTTCCAAGCTGGTGGCCTTCTTATGGAATCGATCCTCCATGTCTACTATAGGTAACGCCGTGCTTGCGAAACGGTACGAACGGTTAAGCAACACAAACCATCTGACATCAAGTCAGCCCAACGGTTTTTGTTTGGCCGCCAGGGGAGGAAAGCCTCCGCGCGGCGAGCCGCGGAGGCAAAGTTATCATCCAAGTTGCCAACGGATGCATCCATGAAGTGGCACCTCGATATTGATCTGGTCACCTTAGTCCTTGTTGCACAGCCTGTTGCTGTATTTGTTGCTGAATAGCGCGTGCTCTCCCGGCCTGGAGTACAGAAACACCGTTAGCCTTCTAACCGAGCGACCTAAAACTGTCAAAGTGGTTGGATAACTTACCTGCTCAGCAAGCTGCTGCTGGAGCGATCGCAAGTGGTCTGGGCGGTGGTTGAAGTCGGAGTAAGGACACAGTTACGGGGAGCAGGAACTGAGGTCCATCAAAATCGTACCAAGCGTAAGCTGCTGGCCTGCTTGAAGCTCGCAATGGTTGATGCCGCTGATGAAGAAAGCAGAGCTTGCAGTTGCTGGTGCAGACATGATTCCCCGTTTGGTAGGTTAAGTGGTTTGGCTAACCGAACCGTAAAGTTACGAGAATAGATTTGACAATAATACAATACAGGATATAATACCCTGCCAGTCAAACGTTCATGCCCTGAATAGAAGGTCAACACGGACGAGATAGTTCCATACAACCTTTACAGCGATTACTATGTTTCCTGCATAGCCATTATTGCTTAAGTAACGGTTATCAAGTTTAGACATCAACGCGTAGTCCTGAGGAAAAGAGCGGCGATGTACGACATCCTCAGAAGGTTAACAGCCTGGAATACAGTGTTAAGCGAGATGCAAGACGGCATAAACAACAAAAAAAACATGAACACATGCTCCCTGATGATGAAAAAAATCATATCTCAATGCCTCCACACGCGGACTGCAGATGGCGGTACTTCTTGGACGGACACTGCTGAAAGCACGGTGTCTTGAACGCATCGTCCGTTTCAACTGGCATGGGCGTTTTCCCAAATGCAAATCTGCAGGGGTGTTTAATGGCGCAAATTGTGCATTTTAGTGACCAATGGGTCTGCCAAGGGAGGATACAAACCTGCCAATTAGTGCGCATAGCTACCTGCGCAAAAGCCCAAATGAATGCAACCCTTACCCAACATCACGATAAATGGGTGTGGTAATGCACAGTTGGACCTGTGCCCGTGGATGTCCTGCAGTTTGTGATTCCATCCTGTCATGGCATTCAGCCCATAAAAAGCATGTGTCATGCTTACACGACAAAAAAAATCAGAGGAGCAATATAAACAATTGCACAATTCCTTCGTTCCCAGGTACGCTGCTCTACAACAACGTGGACAAGCAAAAGAACCGAGCCATGCTTACTGGCAGCTGAAGTCATCATAATTCGGCGTCATGGTCAGCGGCAAGCCCATGTCCTTCGCGAAAAAGGTCTGCACGGCCAGGACGGAGAAAAATTTATCCGAAGAACAACAGAAATGAGGCGAAAGTCTTGAGGCTGTCCACCTCTTCACGCCACCACCTACTGCATCATGGCCGGTATCAGCACATTTACAGTCTGATAGTGTGACTTACCTTACAGACGTCCACCAGCAAGTCATACCTTCAGCTCACGCGGGCTACGTGCCAAGCAAGCAAGCACTGTGACGGTCCCCGACATTACCCCCAATCCCATGCACGGCTCTTGAGCCTCTGTCGCCCGGATGCCCAACATCACCTGGCACTTCCACCTGCCCTGGGTGTGTCTGTCTGTATGTCTGTAGCCGTCCCGCATTCCTCAGTGCCCTGCCTGGATTCTCGAAGCTTCCGTACCCAGTCACCCAGTCACGCTGCCTTTGCTTCTTTCCATTTGGGGGTCCCTTGTTTGTTACATTATGGCACTCAAGACCGGGGCCACAGCCTTTCCGGCTTCCACGCTCTGGCGCGCTGCGCTCCGGAACCCTCTCAATTTACACATCGCACCCTAAAACTCAACATGTATGGTTTGGCACATTGATCCCACACTTTGCGAAGTGCTTACCTGTGTGGGTATTTTGCAGCTGTTGATGCATACGGACGCGCAACCAGCCTGCTCTAGGTAGCGGCAGCGTTCCACAAGCACACCGTGGCCCTTGCCCACCACGCCACCGTCTGCCCACAACAGAACAACGCCAAGAGGGGACGGACGCAACGACGGCAGGGAGGGGGGCAGGAAAACCTTTACTGTAGATGTCCAAGTTGGGGGAAAGGTAGGGAGTGAGGCAGGAAGGGAAGGCGTGAGGGGCTTAAAAGGGTGCCGGAGTCCGCTTGTATGTCCGGAAGGAAGGAAAGGATAACACCTCGCCACGCCTTGCATTCCTTTTCCTGCTCACTCACCTATTTCCACGTCATTGACCTTGCACGGCCCCATGAGCCATTGACACGTCAGCGCCGTCGCCAGCGCGTTGAGGCGGCAAGAAAAGTCGGGGAACGGCTTGGAAAACATCACCTGCAAGCCGCGCGTGTGTGGGTAGGAGGGAGATTGTGTGGGGTAGTGCAGTCCGCCGCAGCCGCTGCTGCCTTCATGGCAAGGCTTCCAAGGAGTACATGACAGGTAGGCCTCCTCCGGATCGTCCTCCAGTCCTTCACCCCACTCCAGAACAAGCGAAAGCACCCCGCTGCTGGGGTCGGTAAGCGAGTTCCGGAGCTCCAGGTCTTCCCTTCCGTACGTCCTTCTCCTCCAGTGCCATCCTGCCCTAGGTGTCCATGTCCAGACGCGAAAGAAGGTCCCCCCACCTTCATACGCCATACCCAATAATGCCCCGTACTCCAAAGGCAAACAGGGAATGTGCGCGATACAGAGCTTAGGCGCTTGCCAGAACAGAAAAGAGCAGGCAAAACAGAAAAACTCGCATGCAGATCCTCTTACAGGCACGTGCCAGGTCTGGATGGGTGAGACAGGCCCTCAAGCGTTGAGTTGGAGCTAGAGCCGCGACTTCGTTTCAACTCGTGGGGGGCTAAGGGTGATGAGCTAGGAGCCTGTCACAGGCCGTTCCCTTAGGCCAGTGCAACCACAGTGGGGAGAAATGTAAGCGCGCTTCCTATTAGATGAAGGACATTGAACTTGCCTTGAAGGCGCCTGGCAGCCAGGAGGGAAATAATGCGTTGAGGATGGCGCGTGTGGCCTCCTGGGTTTGTGCTGCCGTACGAAATTTGCTGTTGAGCCGTCGAGTCAAGTCAATGATGGCGTCATAGCCTTGCAGTGGGGAGTCTGCGCCCAGGGCAGCAACCATCTTGCGACTGCAAGGGCCGGAATGCAAAGCGGAGTGGGACGAACAGCGGCTGAACCCGGTCGCTGTATGGTGGCGGTTGGGGTGGTTGTAATAGCTGTTGCATAGACTTGGGGCCCGGCGTGTGGGCGATGTGTGACTTTAATTGGTACTGATGTCAATGTTATCGTTGTTCTGGCATCGCGGAAGCAAATAATTTGTTGTTCGTCGGAGGCTTGTGTGTAATCTAGAGAGGAATTGGGAGTTGGTTGCGGAAAATCGGGACGCGACCGCGTCGTCAAGTCCCCTATCATCCGTAAAGTCCATCAGCTCCCGAGCACGCCCACGGGAAGAGGCGCGACCCAGCTACTTACCGGAAAAGAGCCATGACGACCACATTAATTGGCTGTGAGTCGATGTCACGATAGGTAGGCGCTGGGTCAGCCGGACCGGCATCGCGCCACGAACTTGATGCTTCACGAATGCCAAGGAGCCGAACGACCTTCGGCTTGCCGGCTACACTGCTTGCATGGCCCGGCCAACGACCATAAGATCGACAATTGTGTGTGATCATGGAACAAGCTGATGATGATAATTATATAATTACGGTGAAGCTGTGAGGGCAGGGTTTCCCTGAATCCCAATAGCCCGCTGGAAGTGGCTCCGAGACCAAAAAAGAGCTTATTCAGACATTTGCTTTACTATTCAAGTTTTTGACATTTGATCATTAGTGTTTACTGTCTTGCCTCAGCTCCAAATATGGCAAATGATACTGCCGCCGTCCAAGCGGCCGGCGGTATTGCAGATGGACCCTCGTCAAGCCGCATTGCCAAAAGAAACCCTCTTTACGAGCTAAACATGATGCTGACGAGTCCTTACTATATGTTAAACATCATGCTTACTTCCTTGTACGTAGTCTTTCGGGAATATTACCGTCATAAGCCCATTCAGCAGGGCATACTCTTCTTCGGCGAAATTACGGACTATGACAGCTGGGAGCGCTATGTGGCTTTCCTCTGCGGGTCATACGGGGCTTTCCGTTTTGTCAAAGCTCGTTCCCGCCTCCAAGGCTTGACTGCACTGCTAGACTTTGCTCAGCTGTTCGTAGCTATTATGGCAATGGTCTGCAGCCCAATCCTTTTGGCCTACCTGGTCCTAGCCTACGGCCTCATATACCTGCTAATCCCACAACCGATGTACCCGCTCAACGAGGTTATGGATCTGCTGACGCCCGAGCGGCTGATGGAGGACGTCAAAAGGTCAGGCACAGATGTCACGTGGGTGGTTCTATACTATGCGCCGTGGCACCCGGCCTGTCGGCACATGGCTCCCGATGTTGCGGACCTGGCGAGGCGCTACGGCACGGACAAACTTAAATTCGCGTGTCTGGATCTAGGCGAGTACAGCAAAACGGCTGAAAAGCTGGGAATAGAGCTGTCACCCGTCAGTCAGCAGCTTCCTGCATTAGTCCTGTACGAGAAGGGAGAGGAGGTGGTGCGGATACCTCAGAAAAAGACCAGCGGGTCGTTATACGCAGCGGGCTACAAGGCCAAGGACGTAATCCGAGCGATGGAGCTGGACATGCGCTTCACAAGGGCGATGCAGAAGAGCGTGGAGAAGAAGGGCCAATGAGATGCGCCAATCCTCTCTTAGCAATCCTCTTTGAGTAGCTCCATGTAACTGACGCAGAGCAGGGAGTTTGTGTCTGCCTGTCTAGGCTCTAGGATTGAGTTATCAGCTGCAATGACGCTGCGTCAAGGGTTAATGCGGGCGGACACAGGCCGAGCCCTGTCCTGAGGGGTGGCCGAGTGTGAGGATAAGGCGTGAAATGAATGAGAGGGTTTTGTAAACGCATATGACGCCTTTGGTTTGCAATGTTATGGCAGTGATCTGGCACACTGTTGGGGTCCTGTAGGTACTTAAGCGTACTGTGTACTGTGTGGCTCCTCTATGCTGGTCCTTGGTTGCGGGAATTATTGGACGGCAACAGCTTCGGGAACCACCGATATGCAAACTTAAGTTCGTGCAATGGATATTTTTTATTCTTTGAGACTGTAAGCCATGGCAGGTGGCCGCGAACCTATCGCAAGGTCGCGATGCGCAAAGGTTAGTCAGTTGGTGGTACGGAACGGACAGAACGGTGTCGGAGCAGGACAAGAGATACGCTCTTGTTTCTATTTTTCATGGTTTGTGTTTTTATAAAGCTGCCTGAGAAATGCAGTTATAACGTCGACTTGCCTTCAAGAGTCAAGCATGATCAATCACCCCTGCCAACCGCCGCTTGCCCTGAGAACCGCAGCAAGGGCCAGAATCTACTTAGTAAGCCGCTATCGCATGAAGAGACATGCAGAGAATTAGTCTTTGAAATAATTGGTCACCTCGTTGCATAGTCGAACAGTTTCTCAAGATGAATTGTCACGGAACAGTCCAAGTGTCGTTCCTCGCCCTGCCTTTCAGGTCAGTGGAGGTCGCGCGAGAGCGTATCGTGGATACTATGCGCCTCCTAAAGCTTTTGTACCTATCCATTTGGTTCAATCGCGGAGTCTGCCTTGGCAGGTGGGTCCAATGGATCTGTACCGGAACGCGGACATCAAATCATCGCTATCTTTAGGTGACTACATGGTGTGATTGCAATTTGTTGATTCCTGCTTAGGATTGCTGAGGTAACGGCACTTCTTTTTATGAGGACACTTCCGCGCCTTTGTCGCTTGCCTGTCGCAAAATTGTCGCTTGTCAGGCCGCGGCCATCTTGAATGCGCCATCGGATGAGCCCAGCGGCATATGGCAAACTCCAAAACTTCTCAGCTGGTTGGATCCGGGAAGCTTGGCTTCCCCTGGCGACTCTTTCCTGGCAGAGCCGGTACGTCTATCAACCGCTCCCGGAAATCGCGAATCGCTTGCAGAAGACTCACCTCTGTTGACATTGTTTTTCAACAATAATTACTGCCCGTGGCTACTCCTTCGCTACATGGACCTGCAGCCGCGAACGCAGGGAGGCAGTCCGAGGAGTGCTCTTCCAAACATTGCACACACTTGCCAAGCGAAGCTTCAGTGTTCCGTCGAAAATCCCCTCAAAAAACTCCTAAAATGCGCAACTTTCTTCACGCATTTGCACTATGTAAGCTTATTTCCCAGGCCCTTCCCATCCTCAGCCACCTTCCATACACAACCCAAGTCAGTCCATTCATCCGCACCCAACCAACAGGACAGCCCCGCCCTTGACTACGTCATGCGGTACCCCGCCCCAACCGACGACGACCCAGATCACCCGGACTGCACCGCCGCCGTAGCGACCGCCTCCCTAATGGGCCCAGACCTGCACGGCGCGCTGGAGCCCGACGGCGGTGATGACGTCAGCAGCGGTATCCCAGGTGCACGAGGCAGGGGGGGCGGCTCTTCGCTGCTTGCGCAGCTGCGGCAGCGGGCGCTGGCGGGCAGCAGTGGCAGTGAGGAGGAGGAGGGAGGCCGCGAGTGGCAGTCCTTGGTGAGTGTGAGAGTCGTGGAGTGGGGCTAGGGGACCGCGAATGAGCCACCCGTCTAATTGGTGGGGCTTTCTGCCTTCTTGGGACATATCGGTATGTGGGTTGGAGTGCGGTGTGGGCGCGGTGAATGGGGGCCTTGCTCAGGTGCCAGGTTTGGTGGGGTGGACACGAGGGGGGGAGCACTAGCAAGCACTCTCATCTCTTCCTCTTGCCCTCCTCCTTGCGCTTCTCCCCTAACAAGTTTCCTGGTTCGCTTGCCCTTCCCCCTTCCTCCCTCGCTTTCTTCCCTGCCCCCCCTCTCCCTCACGCGCCCTCAGGACATCCCCACGCTGCTTCTGAGCCCCCACCACGCGGCCGCCCTGCACTCGCTATCCTCCGAGGAGGGGGAGGAACGGCTGGACACGTCAGCAACAGCAGCAGCAGCAGCAGTACTACAGTCGCTTACGGGCCTAGAGACGGGGATGGACCTGGGAACGGCCGGGGAGGCGGACAGGGCAGCACAGGGTGCGTGGAAAGGTGCTGTCTTCGGTTCATTTTCGGGGGTAAAGGAGGAGGAGGAGGAGGAGGAGCGAATGGGGAAGTGTGAGTGTAAGACGTGGCACGTGCAAAGTACACAAACAAGCTGCAGAAAGCTTCTGCCAGAAACTGCTGCCTAGTCTGCTTGGTGGGGCAGCTTCCCCGGTGTGTGGGAAAAAAGGGGCCGGGAAAAGGGGGGTACGGGAGAGACCATGTGTGCTAAAGGAAAGCGAGGGAAAATGTGGAAGTCAATAATATGACGAGTTGACGGGAGGGGGATGTGAGACCGTTGGGGAGGGCAGGGGAAGGCAAGGCCAAGTACGAAGACGGGGTGGGGGTTGGGGATGGAAGTGTGAGGGATTTTGGACCTAAGGATGGAGGGGACGGGGGTGAAGGGAGCCTCTAACAGAGGGGCCTTACGTGCTCGTAAATGATATCAGGTTGCGAACAAGATCTTTTGAAGAAACGTGCAGAATGCGCAAATGGGGGGGGGGGTCGAGAGAGAATGAGTGTGTGCAGGAGGGCGGGCTCTGGTGCGATGTAATTCAGTGCTTATCGGTCGATATGTGATTGTCGTAACGGATAGACTCGAATAACCATAATTGTTTACTTGTTTATTTATTTATTACTGGCGGTGTATATCGTCCTGATTTTTGTTCATCGTCTGTGTCGTATCGTACAGTTGCGGCCGAGCAAATGCCTCCGGAGTTTCACGTGTTGGCCCGAGCTGCCACCTTGTTGCGCCATCACACTGACCGTCAAGGCCGTCTTGACTTGACGGGAAGGATCGGCAGTAGCAGCAGTACGAAGATTGTCGGTGGCGGTAGCGGCGGCGGTGTAAGCAACGAGGTCGGCAGCTTCCACTGGGCATCTGGGGGAGGTGGAGTCGCTCCGGAACCAGACCTGAGCCCACTTGACGATCTTGACACTATCCTTCAAGAGGCCAACCGGTGGGTTTATGTGCTTGCGCGGGAGTTGCGGAAGTATAACCTTCTGCCCATCTTTAGTAGCTGCCGTACAGTACGGCACATACCATCAAGATACATTTACATGCTAGGTCGCGTTCCCGGCGTGTCTCAAAAGGTGCCTTTTTCTGCGGCCAGCTAGCACACCACGTACCACCCTAATTGTGGCACAGAGCAGCAGCTAGGGTAGTGGTGGAGTTATGGTGCTTTGATGCGATTCGATACGGTGTGCCTTGCCGCGATGTGGGTTGGCTGGGGTAGTGAGCTACGAGCGGCGCCTTGGTGGGTGCTCGAACAGAACACCCCCTGAAGGCCACGTCGGCAGCATGCACGGACAAAGGTAGGAGCACTGCTAAGGAACGGGCGACAGGCGGCAGCGGCAACTCCTGTGGTGTGGTGCGGTGTGGTGTGGTGTGGTGCGCACGCAGGTTCGCGGGGCTCTGTGATGGGCCTCTGACGGACGAGCAGCTGGAAATGGTGGTGGCCATGCTGGGGGCGGCATCGCCCTCGTCCGCCGCCGCCGCCGCCTCCTCCTCCTTACCCCTATCCGCGTCTTCCATTGGAGACTGCGGCGGAGGTTGCGGTGATGTGGCGGAGGACGTCGGGGCTACTGCCGCGGCAACGGAGGGGGGCGCGCTTGCTGTGACGGGGGCGGGAGTGGATTGGAATGCCGCCAACACTGGCGGTGGCAGAAGGCAGAAGACGGCGGCGGCAGCGGCGGCGGCGGCTGCCGCCGCAGCCGCGCTGGCAGAGGAGGGCATAGATTGGCTAGATGCCGCCCCTGCTGCCCCTGCTGCCGTGGTGATGGGCAGTCCGGAACACCCCGGCGGGGCGATCACAGTGGATCTGGAGGACCGTTCCGTACAGCTGCGACGAGCACCTTGTACGGCAGCGGCGGAGGGAGGGATGGACAGGGCCACAAGGGAACGTGTGACGGCCGAGGTGGCGGCGGAGCTGGAGGCAGCGGAGGCGCACCTAGTGCATCATGCCGCCGCCGCAGCGGCGGTGCCCCAGCCGCCAACAGTGACCCATGGGTCAATGGGTAGCTTTGTGGAGCTGAAGACCTCTGCATTGACAGCTGCTGCCGGAGGCGGAGCAGGCGGTGTCGGCGAGGTGGTGGCGGCGGAGAAGACGATGGCGGCGGGCGGTAAGGCAGCAATGGATGAGGCGGCAGCAGCAGTGGCGGCGGAAGCACGGCGGGCGGTGTGGGGTGAGGCGGGATGGCCGTACGGCTCCGTGATGCAGTCCGAGGACCTGGTGATGGAGTTGAAGGACTCAATTCGGCGGCACCAGGAGGATGCGGAGCACGGCTCTCCGAGCACCTTACTGCCTTGAACAAGACGAGGTTTGGACAAATAAAAGAATTTTTCAAATGTAAGGATGATGATGAAACACAAATAAAAAAATGTAGCGACGATTTTTATGAGACAGGGCAATCAAGTGGTCACATGAAGGTGATGGGTGTAAAGCATTTGCTGGGGTACATGCAGGCTTCTGAGGAATTGTATATATGTGTGCATTTTTCTGTGAAGAGAGCAAGTCAGCAAGTTGTGCCAGTTTCGGTTTTGTGTTGAAGCATTGGTCTGATCCGTATACGGAACAGCGTGTCTCTCCCTCCCCTGTCCCTTGTCAGGTCAAGGCGATGGAGGGGCGAGTGGGGGGAAATGGGTGGATGGAGGTGGCTTGCAGCTTGAAGTTTTTATATGTGTGTGCGTGTGCGTGTGCGTATGCGTGTGCGTATATGCATATGTGTGTATGTGTGTGTGTGTGGGGGGGGACGTACAACTAATTAAACCAACTAAAGGATTTCGTGTTATCATGTGTGGCACCTGCTGCCCCCGGACACTCTCGGAACAGGCTCGCTTATTCGCATGTTCTTTGGAATTATGTACTACTATCCATAACCAGAACCACTTCACCGGATCTTCGTATGGACGCCAAATTATGTTTTATTTCTTTTGGGAGATTTTGATGGTGCCAGTTGACTTATCACGCACAAGCTCCATTCCCAAGAAGAATGACACGTCGCCCCAATTTGCCCGAATATGCCCCAATCACGCAATCCAAAATCCTTCGCCAGTTCTTTCTTAGACTGCGCTACTAAATCCTTAAGAGTCACTCCCGATCAAAAGATCATCAACATGAACGAGCAACTCAACAACATGAGCGCCCTGACGCTTGACGGACACGCTAGGATTTGCGTCAGAAACAACACAACCGATTCCCCCTACCTTATTGACTAATTCTATGTACCAAGCCCGACTAGCTTGGCGCAAACTGTCAACAACCCGCACTTTTGACCACGCTCGCTAGTCACAAAACCTTCAGACTGATCAACGTAAACCAGCTTGTCCAAATTGCCATGAAAAAATGCTGTGCGTACGTCGAGATGGTGGACTTCAAGCCCTTTAGCAGCAGCCTTAGAATGGAAAGCGCGAAAAGTGGCATGACTACTTGTGGGAGCGAATAACTCATCGTAATCCACATCCTCGACCTGGATATCTCCTTACGCTACAGATTCCAATTTTTCAAAATGGTCATTAAATGCATATGAAGTACGCTACATACTAGGGGCACATCGTCTTCGGCCTGGTATTCTTGTAGAATAGTGGTTTGTGGCTGAGCTGAGCCGTTAGTTGCTTATGTAACGCTCTGGCAATCACTATTGTATCCGATCCACTTAGCCTTTAGTTTGGCCGTAGAAGGACATTGCGAATGATGCAGGTAGGTTTCGTTATGGTGGGCCAATGGCCTTAAATGCATTAAGCAACATACTAGGGGTAAATGCTTTCTCGATATATAATTCTGAAGTTAGCAATTCCTTTCTGGAGGTCTAAGATTGACATTTTAACTGCCACTGTTGAGCTGTTCAGGCGCAGATTTTCGAAATTTTCAAATCTGTGACAGATGTAAACTAAATACGTTGCTGCAAAAGCTTTTGTAACATTTCTTGTATTGTTCTGTTGAGATAAAGAAAAGGATATTTTGGTTACTTCGTGTGTTAGGCAGTTAGTAGAGCTGCGACATATGAAGAAGCTGTTGTCGCCGCTGGTAAATATCACTGTAGTTGATGCTACTAAGTGATTACTAAGCGAGTAAGTGGGACCCTAAGATAGGTCCGTTCCACGAGTGAGCTGTGAGGATCGAGGGTCATGTTTTTAAAGCAATCAGGATATTCTGTTGGAGAACTAAGTTTGTGGCGGTTTGCTCTCTGGACGAACTGGTTTCGGTATCATGCCGTGCAGATTGCACGGCATCTCTGGGCTCTTGCCTTCATTAGTTCTGGCGCCTATCCGCTTAACTTGTAACACAACGATATGCTAAGGTTGTATGCAATACGTGCTTAAGCAACGGCATAGTTACCAATTACAACATATTCAGACCCAATTCCGAACGGACTTCTGCCTTTCACCACCATCACAACAACATGCACCCCAAAAATGCAATTATGTCCAGCTCCTCCCTCACTGCGAGCCAGCAGAAGCGCCAGTTATTCCCCTACCCACCCCTCCCCGAATCATTCCCGCCGCCCCCAACCCCATCTGGGTGACCTGGCAGCTTAGTAACGTCCACCACAGCAAGGTAACCCGCAGCTCGCGCGGACTGCTTGCCCATGGGTGCATCCTCGAAGGCCACGCACTGCTCCGGCCGCAGCCCCAGGCGCTCCGCAGCCAACAGGAAGATGTCAGGCTCAGGCTTGGCATGAGGCACATCAGCGGAGGTGACTATGGCTTCAAAGCGGTCGGCCAGGCCCCTCTCAGACAGAGACTGTGTGTGGGTGTGTGTTGGGGGGGAGGGAGGGATGATATGCCAAGTCAACAAGGGAAAGACAACTGCCAGCATCCGAAGTTGCAAATTGCTGGAGCCCGACACGAAAGGGGGGGGAGCTTAGTGTGAGAGGAGTGAGGCGGTTTGAAGCGAGATAAATGTTATGCATGGTGACGGGATCACAACCACCAACCATATATGCCCACGTGCTCCGTCCCACAAATTGATTTTACTCTTCTTCTGTGTTATTTAAGGTCTTTCCGGTCAATCATTCACTATGTTATATGTAGAGAGAGATGCACACATCTCATCAGAAATCCCCCCAATGCTAAATCCCCCTGCCCCCTGGCCCCCACCCATTCTCCCCGACCACCACTTCCTCTCCCACCTCTTATTACAACCTGTTGTAGCTGCTGTACAGTACGGAACACACATTGCCTATAAATATCCGTTAAGGCGCTCTGCCAGCATATTCAGAAGCCTTTTCAGCGGCCAACCACTTCACACCCCTACCCCTCTACCCCCTACCTTGCCCCTTCCCTAGCCGGTGCACTCACCCTTTCCACCGCGTCCCTCGTGCCCCCGCTGCATACCGCCAGCTTCATGCCGCGCCTCTGGGCCTCATCCAACACATCCAGGACGGGGCTCACCGCGGGACTAGCCGGCAGCCCGCGCTCCTTAAACAGCCGGTTCTCCTCCGTCACCAGATCGCGGCGGGCCTCCAGGGGCAGGTCAACACCCTGCGGACAGCAGAAGGTGCGGTGCGCTTCAGAAGGTGCTGCTTCTGCCGTTGCCGCTTCCCATCAAATCATTAAGCAAGGACAGGTGTGGGGTCTAGTGAGGCGGCAGGCGGGTAGTACTTTCGGGCTGCTATTGCCAATGCATATGTATACGTGCTGGACTGCTGCTGTTGCTGTTGCTGCTGCTGCTACCAGCAAGGTTTCAGGCCGTCCCCCTTCTTAACCCCCCATCAACCTTCATCATCGTGCAGCTCTTTTTACTTGGCCGACTACACCCCCTCCCAAACCTCCCTCCTCCTCGTGCCCCTCCCATCCACATCACCTGGTCAGCGCACAACCTGTCCACGATATCTTGGCCCGACATGCCCGTGAGCGCCATGTAGGTGGGCTTGTCCATGTGCAGGCCGTGTTGGGAACATGCGGCTTGCCAGCTCTCTACACGCCTTTGTGGATTGTGCGGGGGGCGAAAGGCGGGTGTGTGGAGCCCGGGGGTGGGGCGGGGGGAGTTGTGCACATACAAGATACGACCCACACGTGTGTATGCTTTTAGGGTTATAAGTGCCGAGCCGCTCCCCGGCGAGGTCGCAGGTTGAGTAACACGCGAGCGACCAAATTTGAACCTCTTATGCTGGTGGGTGTGGGTGTGGGTGTGGGTTCAAAACGACGCAATGAAAACCGGCGTCCGAATCATGTAATGGGAAAGGGTGGCTGATGGGAGTTATGACTTGGATGGCACGTAATTGGAAGCACTGTGCACGGTGCATGGCAGCACTTCCCCCCCCCCGAGGAGGGAAAAATGTACTCTCTCCACATCTCTTTGCGAAGGTGGACGATAAGACGCAAAGATGACAACAGCCGGCAACGGGGTAAGGGTAGGCCTCGCTGAATACATCGTAGCAAGTAAGGGCGACGTATCCGATATCCCAACTGCAGATGACTGTGGTAGGGGTCGCTGCGATGTGGGCGGCTACGTGGGTGAGGAAGCAACCACCCGCAGCAACCTCAGCCAGACTGGGAGGCAGGGTTCGTATGTAAGAGACAAGGAATCAGCCGCCAATGCCCAAATCGCCAACGGCCGGAGGTTCAAGGAGTGCTGTAAGAGGGGGGCCCGAGGAACGTGTTCGGGTGGGGTATGCGGTGGTCTATGCGTGTATGTGATGCGATCTGCTTTGTACGATGAAACAACGACTCTGAAGGTGGGCGCGGATGCGGAAAAGTCTGTGGGGATTTCATGCCAGAGTCGCATTCTGTTTCGGTTTATAGTTGCATGGTGGTTAGTTTGTTGGTTCATGTACGGGCATGTACATTATCGACATTATGCAAACGAGATGCGAAAAAGTGGGATGCGAAAAATCACCTTATAACGCGTGGAGTTCACTTGAAAACCACATAAAAGCGTGTGCGCACTTTCAAGCTGTAAAAAAATGGAGGTCGAAGTGTGCAACTGTTCGAATATACGTACCTATCGTTTGTGTCCAGCAGGGTGCCGTCCATGTCGAATACGGCACCGCGGGCGCGTTGCGGTAAGATACCCTCGTGCACATGAAGTCGCCCCGGGCTGACGGTCTGCGGTAAAAGCACCAACGCGACGGCGGCAGAGGAAGCAACAGCATAGGCGGCGGTGGCAGCAGCAGAGCGCGGCGGCAGCGCGGACGTCCAGCAACAAAAAAGGGTGGCGAGGAGAGCTCTGGAAAACAATGCGGAAAAGGACCTCATCGATTACCTGGAACTCTCGCGGGTCAGCCATTTCGCGGGCCTCAGGCCGTTCGCTGTTATCGTGGCGGTCTTCAGAAAAATCCGTCAACGTCCCGAAATTGCTGCTTACAGATAACGGCAACGGACGCCGCGCGCGCTTCCGAGATGGCTGCCCGTCCGGAACGCCTTTTGTTAATCCACAAAGTTGCCCAAACGGAAAAGGCGGATGCCGGTGTGATGGGGACGATAGCGCAAAATTGCGGCAAAAAGGGAAGGTCACAGAGCAAGACGAAGGGCTTTGGAAGACGCGACCCAGGGGACGTGAAATAACCAAAAGGATGGTGCGCATAGCTCGCTTGATATTACGGCTGAATGGCTAGCACCGCTTGGCTTGCTAACGATTCTATATCTTGGTGTTGCTGAAGCAGGCTGAAACAGGCTGAAAGAGCGCGCGAAGCGCTGGATGGCCACTTCTGACGCGGCAGCTTAGCCTGTTTCGAAAGCTTGCAAATTATCAAACTGCAAATTACAATCTTTAGCTTGCAAGATGTGAAAGATTGAAAAGCCTGACATGAAGTACAGCTCCGTTTGCGCCGTCCAGTCCTCGACCTGGTCTCGCCCTGGAGCTGTAGGGCACCTCGCAGCACCCTGCGGTTGACCGGTTCGAAAGCTCGGGCACCATCCACCCACGGTTTTGGACATGGAAATTGTTGAGCGTTCCTCCCAGAGTTGCAACAAAAAACTACCAGTCAGCATCGCCCTCGATGACGTGACTTGCGGTTAACTCTGTTTGGTAAGGGACGACATCGTCGATGCTTATAGCACGGTCCATAACGATTGAGGAGTAACCTGCCAACAAATTCTTTCAGTATCCATTAAGGCATTAAAAAATGTATGACTCTGGATGGACCTGTCAAGAGCTAGGGCTGACAGATCCACTCACACGGTGCTGCGACAAGTTCCAAAGTATTCGTGACGAAACTGAACCGCTGACCCCGGGGCATTTATCAGGACACCGTCCTGCTGGTACACGCACGGTGCAAGAAGTGCACCAGCTTCGTGGAAGTGGGCTGTCGAGTCCCCTTGGTGCAAACTAACCCCTGGTGTTCACAGCATTAACACTCTCTCCCGTCTTTCCCATCTCACACAACACAAAAGCTACGCAAAGGCGCCCTTCGTAGCGACCGAAAAACACGGCCGAATTCCCGCCGCTTTTCCTGTGCTCTTGCAAAGCCAAGCCCCCCTCCAACGCTCATTTGCCCTTCGCGCCCTTGCCCTTTGCCAGCCACACGCCCGCAGCCGGCGCCGCCTTCTTGCCGCCACTGCCTTTTTTCCTCACGCCGCCGTCACTCGCCGCCGCCTTGCTCTTGCCGCCACCCTTGCCCTTGCGTCCCCTGCCCTTGCGTCCCCTGCCCTTGCTGCCGCCTCGGCCGCGTCGCACACTCGCCGCCGGGTGGGCCTCGTCAGGTTCCCCTCCCAACGACGACCTCCGGTATCGCTTGTAGGCTTCACGTCCCGTGTACTCCTGGCCGCCCTCTACGTAGACCTGGTGGGATGCGGGGTCGCAGTTGCGAGTAGCGCACGTGTCAGGAGGCCCGTGTTGCTGTTGTTATTGGTGCTACGGGTGCTGTTATTGGTGTTGGTGGTGTTAAGGTTGTTCGTTGTTGACAATGGCGAACGACCACGACGGAATAATCGTCCTTTAACAAAACAACCTCCGCCATGCCCGTGTTCAGCTGTCTAGCTGGCGCTCAGAAAAAGTCAGCACACAGAGAGTTTTGCAACCGTCGTATAAAGTATTTTAGCAAGGCGGCCATACGATTTAAATTACCCTGTAATGGTAAGCTGAAGGTGCGGCAGCAGCAGCAGCAGCAGCAGCAGCAGCAGCAGCAGCAGCAAGGTGGATGGGACTCCCCACGTCTCATTCCCACCCCCCCCCCCTGACCCAACCGCCAAACCTCAGGCGACGATGTACCATCAGAGTTTGGTAGGCATCCGTTTCATCCCATCCTCCCCTTCCCCTTTCTAGTGGAGAACGTACGGCGAAGTACGACCCCCATTGCTCCTCACCCTGATACCAGAGCTATTGGTGTACCACCGACCGCCGCCACCGCCGCCAACGTCACCAAGCGCCGCCGCCCCGCTGCCGCCCCCTGCCGTCGGCGCTGAAGCCCTCCTGGAGCGCGACGACCCTCCGCCGCCGCCGCCAGCACGTGATTTGTCGTTACGTAGCTCCCGCGCCCAGTCAAAGACGTCGTTGTCGGCTCCGCCGAACCCTCCGCCGCCAGCGCCTTGCCCTCCTCCGTTTGCTCCCGTGCCGTACGTACCGTTGGGACCAGCTGCTGCTGCTGCTGCTGCGCCGCCGCCGCCGCTGCCACTCGGCCCTGCAGCAGTGCCCGCTGCAGGTGTACGTCGTGTGGTGCGATGCATGGGCGCGACGGCCGAGTTGGCCGGGCCGTTGAACTGTCTCTGGTACAATATGAACACGGGCTCGGGCCGCGGGCCAGGTCTGCATCCATTCCCGGGTCCGCATACATAGGGGAGGAGAGGAGCACAGACCAGCATCAAGGCGGGGAGTGAGGCTCGGTTGAGCAGCTACTGAAAAGGGTGTTACCGCGTTCAACAAATTGTAAAACACCAACAAAATATCAATACTTGACAAAACAAGGTGCAAAGTGTGACAAGGTGTTAAGAAACACCCTTACAGCGGTAGCGGCAGCTGTGGTACGTGTCAGTTACAGTGGCTGAGGTCAAGAGCGGGATGTGCACCCGGTCGGAAAACACACGGCGCACGGAGAAGCGTCCCCCAACCCTGAGAGCGACAGGGAATTATGCGAGGGATGAGGGACGCCTCCAAGGCAGCTGCGGGGACGCACACGGCCGGCCACCCACCCACCCACCCACCCACCCACCCACCCAACCAGCCGCGTGCGGATGGCAGGGAAGCCGTTTTTAAAAGGAAGCCGTTTTCCCCAAGAGGTGGCAATGATACAGAGGATGCACCGGCCACCGAGTCACCGAGCCACTCACCTCGGGTCGTACCCGCCGGCCAGAGCGGCAGCTGGCACGAAGTCCGGCAGCAAGGTCCACCAGGGGCCCTCGGCCCGCGGCGGCGGCGGCGGCGGCTGTGGGTGCGGGTGCTGCTGTGGGTGCGGGTGCTGCGGGCCGGCGGTGTGGGGCTGCCGCGGCCCGAGCGACAGGGCCCCCCCACCGGACTGCTGTAGCGGCAAAGCCCCTGACGCCGGTAGGCTGAGCCGTCGTACAGCCTCGACGCCGCAGCCGCCGGCGGTGGCACTGGCCAGCCCTCGCCCACCCGCGTCGCCGATGCTGTGGCGAGCTGCTGCCGCTGCTGCCAGACGGCCACCGCCAGCGGTGGCGGCGGCGGCGGCCATACCCGACAAGCAACCTCCGCCGCCATTGAGGCTACCAAATCCACTGGCGGCGCCTCCGCGCCCACCTGCAGCTCTGTCTGTGCACCGCGGCAGTCCAAGAAGTTCAGAATCGTCGTCGTCGTCCTGCGAGCAGTCTTCAATAACGTCCTCCTCGTCTTGTTGGTGCTCCTGCGGCTGCTGACGCCCTTGCTGCTGGTGCGGGTGATGCTGCTGATTATGGTGGTGATGGTGATGTTGATGGAGATGTCGATGCTGCTGTCCAAAGCTCTTCAGGGGTTGGTGCTGCGGGTCAGATGGGCCTGAGAGGGCGGCGGCGGCGGCGGCGGCGCGCTCAGGCATCCCATCCTGTTGGCCGCCCGTTCCGTACACTGGCCTGAAACCTCGCGCCGCCGCAGCGGCGGTACCGGCGCCGCCACCGCCGTCCTCACCTTCGCCTTCCGCCTCATCATCATCCCCAAACAACACGGTGTGCCGCCGCTTCAGCCTTCTTTGTCGCCCAGCCCCCGTCCTCATACGTTCCTCCTCCTCGTCTTCCAACTCAGCGGACCCCCCTTCCCCGCCGCCAGCCAGCCCTTTGCCCGGCACACCCGCTGGTGCTGCTGCCGCCGCCGCCGCCGCTGCACCTGCGGCAACAGCGCTACTGCCAAGCTCATTCCCATTCCCATCCCCATCCTCGCCTTCATCGTCATTCAACAGTACGACAACCGGTGTACGGCAGCCGCCAGTCAAGTTCCACCCGCCCAGATCAGCGCAGGCTGTGCCAACACGCGCCTCGCCACTGGCGTCGTTACTTGCAAGGTCTATAGTAACGTGACGGGGCCGTACAGCGGCAGCAGCGGCCGCCGCTGTGGCGGCGGCAGCGGGGGCCTCCGGCGCCGATAGACGCATCAGCCTGGGTCGTTTCTGGGAGGGGCCGGAAGGCTCCAGGGGGCTGCTGGCGGCAGAGACGGGCGCTGAGGCGGCAGTTGCCGCTACTGCCGGTGGTGCTACAGCTGCCAGCTGAGAGGGCGCCTGAGGCCTTCGCAGCAGAAACGACATGATGCTTTGGGTACCTGCTGCAGCAGCCGCGTTCTTGGTTGCTGCTGCCGAGCGGCGCTTGATGGCGGCGGGGCCTGCAGCGGCCAATGCGGCAGCGGCGGCAGCAGCCGGTGCCTGGCTCAGGCCCTGGCCCTGACTCTGCCCCGCTGCGAAAGCTGACTGCTGCTGTTGTTGTTGCTGTGATGCAGGGCCCTGATGTTCTATTGTCTGGCACGGCGGGTGCTGGCGTTGGCAGGGTTCCGGTAGTTGCTCCGTCGCCGCTGCATTTTGCTGTCGCTGCCGCTGCAGCGGCTGGTTGTAATCTCGCTGTGCCTGCAGCTTCTGAGGCGGCAGTGGCAGTGGCTGACAGGTTTGTGGCTGCTCCTCCTCCTCCATCGGCATCGGCTGTCGCATCGGCGGCAATGCCAAACGGCCGCGGGTACCCCTCCGCGGCACCGGCGGCTGCATGCTGGGCCTTTCCTGCGGCAGCGGCGGCGGCTGATTCCGACATTGCGCATGCAACGGCTGCTGTCGCTGCTCCTGCTCTCGCTGCTGTTGCTGTTGCTGCTGCCGACCAGCATCCGCCGCCGCCAGGTTATCGCGCTCCCCGGGAGGCCACCAGTCTCCCCCATCCCCGTGCGCATGTCCCCCGCGATAATCCGCATCATCGAGGTCCGCCGGAAAGTAACCGCCCTCCCCACCACCATCACCACCACAACCACCACCACCACAACCACTACCGGCGGATGCCGACATGTCCAAAGGTTCCGGGGGCTCCCAGGTGCAGCGCAGTGGTGCTGGCACCGGTGCCGGCGCCCCGTTGTAGGCTGGCGGCAGACTGTGACCCATGGGTCGCTGTCGCCTTGACTGAGCTGGCGGCAACGGCTGTCCTCCGCGTATGACGGCCTCCTCTGGGTCCTTTACTGGATGGAGGGGGCTGCCAAGGCCATCACCGCGGACGTAGCCGGGCACGTCATCGGCAGCCTGCGGCTGCTGAAGCGGGTGCGAGCCGTACACCGCCGCCGCTCCATCGCCATTGCCACCGTCGCCATTGGGCCCATCGCCACCTTCACCGCCACCGCCGTCATGGTCTTCCCCAAAGAGGCAGCGGAGCCGCGTTGGAGCGGAACGTCGCCGTTGGTGCGCGGCTTGAATGGCACGTGCCAGTGCGGCATCGGAGCTACTAGCTGGGCCCGTGTGACTGCCACTCGCAGCAGCAGCTGGCGCCAGCGGCACCGCTGCTGCTGCTGCTGACGGAGGCGCAATAGGCGACCTGGCGCTGGACGGCAGCGGTGATACTTGCCTACCGGTAGCTGCTAACCTCCTGCGACCTGGGGGCGGGAAGGTGTGGAAAGGCGGTCCGTAACAACATAGTGGGATGGGAGAGGGGAGGAAGCGGCTTCAACGGGATGGTGGGTCCTACGGTAAGGTCAAAAGCGTCACAAGGTATTATATTTCCCCAGCCCACCCATGTGGCAGAAGTCCATCCATGGTCCGCTCCCTCAAGTGACGAAATTGACACCGCTCGCCGCCAGCAGCGGCTGTTACATAGAAATGTACGGACGGAGCGGATTGTACGGAGTACGACATTCTGGGCTGTTCTCATGATCTCACCCGAGGTAGCTCTCGCTGGCACGCTTTGAGAAGCCGCATGTGGCGGATTCATGTTGCCGCCGCTGCCACCGGTGCCGCCGTCGCCGCATCTGTCCGACGCTGTAGCTGGCATTTCCACACACGTTGCCGTAAGTATTGCCATCGGCATGGCTGCTACCGCCGCCGCAGCCGCAGGATACGCTGAGGGGCCCATGCCACCAGCCGCGTACCCTTGCTGTGGCGGCGGCAGCTCATTTGACGGCTCCGCCACGACCGCGGCGGCGCAGCCGTACACACGATTGGGGCTACTGACGTCCGCGTGGACCTGCCGTGCAAGAAGTGGTGGGGTCCTCGAGCCGGCCGCTGCAAGGCATGCGGCGGTTGGTTCGCCTCCTGTCCCGACTGCATGGCAGGTAATCGAACGGCCCAATGCTACATCTCCCACAGACTGGACGGCCGCAGCAGCGGCGGCGCCGCCGCCACCGCCAGCAATCCGAGATAGTGGTAGTAGCGGCGCCGTACGGGCCAGCCCTGCTGGCGCGCGTCGGAGCAGGTTGAACCGCGGTACGACCTCTTCCTCTTCCTGTTCCTCTTCATCGTCACCATCCTCGCTGGCCGCCGACGCGGCGGCGGCGGGCCCCCTCAGGGCGATCCGCTGCAGCGGCGGCGGCACCGGCTGTGGCGCTGCCGCCACCTTGCACGGCAACTCCGCAGACGTTCGGCGCAGAAGGTTGAACCGGCACACCGCCGCCTCCTCATGTTCCATCTCCGCCTCCTCCTCTTCCTCCTTGCCGCCCTCTTCCCCACTACCGCTATTAGCGCCACCCCTGGTGGCGCATTGGACGGCGGATGTGATGGTCAGCAACGACGGGCGGGCAGCGTCAGCGGCTGGCGCCGCGTACGGCAACGGCGGTTGCGGCTTAGCCTGCCCAGCGGCGACGGCCCCATGTTCACTTCCAGTTGGGCCGCAGCCGCAGAATGGACCCGTGGGCCGGTGACCCACATCGCCAATACGCAATGGCGGCAGCGGCGCTGGCGCCGCCGTTGCCGCGTCAGCTGCCGCTTCCGAACGCACCGCCGGCCCCACCGGCCCACCGCGTCTCCTCGGACCCTCGCCACCTCCGAGCGACACGAGGGAGTGTGGCGGTGTAGCAGCCGCGCCACCAGCGGTCAGTACCGCTGGGCGCATCGCACATTGATTTGTTGGAGGGGGAACCGCTGAGTTCGATGGACCAGAAGTAGCAGCAGCAGCAGGTGCAGCAGCAGGTGCAGAAACAGCCCCTACCAGCGCATGGCAGGGGTTTAATTCCTTTAGGGCGTTTCGTTGCGCGGCGTGTGCAATTGATCCGCCAGCTGGAGGTGCGCAAGGCTGGCATCGCAGTGCTCCGAGGATGTTTTCCGCTCCGGAAGCTTGGTGAGTTGTTTGCGGCATTGCGCGAGGTATGCAGGGCCGCAGAAGGTTGAAGCGCGGCGCATCGACGTCGTCGTTGTAGTCGTCACCGTCGCTATTTGTGCTGCCGTCGCCTCTGCTCGAGCTGGAGTGAGCCCTGATGCCGCCTGCCAAGGGAGTTGCGCAATCACCCCGCATTGCTGCAAGGGAAGGACCGTTGAGATAACGTGCCGGAGAAGCCTTATTTTTGTGGGTATCTTCGTGTGTGCCGGTTGTACGCAGGCGCGCAGGCAGTACACCATTATGTTGCCCAAAGGCAGTTTTTTCCGTGGTATCTACGAGTTGTTGTAGATGCTGCGGTGCTGGCATTGTGGAATCGCCTTCCCGTTCGCGCGCATTTCCCACACGGGGCGTGAAAGGCGACTTTCGCAGCACCTCAAGTAAGGATATACTTGATTTCACAAAGTTGGATTCAATTTCTGTGCCATCATCTGAGCCATCGGAAGAACTCTGTGATGCCTGTAAAACGTCGCCCATGGTAGGGGCACAGTTCGCATAACACTACGCATATGACGAATAAAGGTGAGGCAGGCTATGTGTATATTAAGATAGCAATCTTCATCCTTTCCTGTTGTAGCCAGCAATCAAGGGCATTTCAACAATGAGCAAGCGCAGTGAACCTACGATCACGCAGGTGCCATTAAAGATACATATGGACCAGAAACGTCCTCACGTGTATTTCGTCTTTCAGGGGACTGCTGTCGTCTGTTCTCGTTCTGTGTCCCATGCTGTGCGTGCTGCAGTACTTACTACTGGCGCGCTGTGCTGAGGTTCTAATTACGCAGCGAATAAACGGAAGCTCTTATTTCTTGCTGTGTGTTTAGGTTTCCCTTGTACATATTATTATCATATCATTCATGTTAGCGTCATGCAAAGCTATAAATGCAAGTCAGAACGAAGATTTGTGACTCCATTCCCTGCAGGCCCTGCACTTCTACGTGACCTCTTTGACGTGTAATATATTTCATTTATGCTCCAATCTTTATCCTGCTGGCAATTTCCTACGACAGAGGCCTCGGGCTGCCAACAGCAGCAGCAACATTGGCGGTCCTAATAGTAATGGCAGCAGCAGCAGCAGCAATAACAACAGCTCGGCCGGGACAGCGTCCGCGGCGGCGCAGGGTTCCTTGGCCGGCACTGACCACGTCAGCCACCCGGTTGCGGGCAGCGGCGAGGTAGCAGATGCGCAAGGCGGCGGCTGGTGGCAGGGCCAGCTTGAATACCTCGAAAACCGCGGAAACTGCTCCGCGGGCCCCTGGCGACACTGGGTCGGAGTACAGGCCCGGGCCGCGCCTAACCGGTGGCGCCTTTAGTAGCACGCCGGAACCCGGTAACGCTCCATTGGAACAGGAACCTGTCGGGACGTGGGGGCTGCCAAAGCGGCGTAACATCCAAAGCAGCAGTAGCCGAAGCAGCCGAAGCAGCAACAGCCGAAGCAGCAGCTGAAGCAGTCCGGGCAACTGGTGCAACTGCAAGTTGCAAGGGCCATATTGACGGGAATCCAATGTTCAAGGACGGCTTGCCGGCCGAATGGCCAGCTGCAGAGGTGGTTGAACGGTTTCAGGATAGGCTGCATAAGCTGACCAGCCTACGGGTCTGTTTTTCGATGACTGCTCTGTGAGAGCACTTCCCAAAGCAGCCCTGCTGGCCGAAAAGCAAGCAAGCTGTGCAGCGTCTGCGTATCTCAGCAACGGGAGCTGCATACCGCCTGTGCTGTACAGCCGGTGGACGCAGCTCCGGCAGAAACCGGATACCGGTGAGGACCCACTCCCGCCGGTGTGTCCCTCACTCTCACCAGTGATGGTGATGTATGTAGTGGAAGGTGGAAGGATACATTCATCGTGTGCTTGCACTAGGCTATGTGTACGGGCTCCCGGAGGTCACGTGGTGTCTCCGTGTTCCTTAGGGCTACTTTGCCTAGCAACCAGGGCTAGGGAAGTGGGCCACACGAACACTCTGCTACAGCGTTATTTTTTTGCGGAATATATTCCGAATTCGGAATAAAAAAATGTTCATGGTCCTGAAAGTTAAGAATAAATAATGTTCCGACCGTGCAAGTTCATTCCTCCAGCCAAAAATGGACTGTCCGTGCCAAAGCCGCTAGAATCTCACAGGAGACATACATGTTAACCATATCATAGTACTTTTATGCCATGGATACTGCTAGGAAGCTCACGCCCGAAAGTGAACGAGGAATCGGACTGTTTCTGACCGGACCAAACGCTGCAAAACATTGACCCGAAGCTCCCAAAGCGTGTTAGGTCATTAAAGCAGATATAAAAAATCACTGAAGCCATTAGCGACGTTAATAAAGACGGTATAGAGGTCGTAGGGAATGTGGGCGCAATGCTGCAGCCAGCCGACGACAATGACGCCACTCCGGTTGTCAACAGCGAGCGGGCCAAACATCAATGTTCGTCATATGGAGACAATCGCGATGGTCCAGGAAACAGGCTGCGCTTGGTGGTTCCGGTCCATTACTTTTGCAACCCGGAAAGTCGTGTAGTGTTATCTTTCAACATGATGCAAGACGAACGATGGTGAACGAACTCTATTCGATCAGTGTTTGAGAGATTGTGGTGTGCGCGTGTTGCGGCATTCCCCACGGCGTTTGCACGAAGTAAACTGTAACTCATGGGGGGTCT